CTTGTTGGGTGCTTGGCCATCCTTACCCTCTGATCTTCCTTTCGGTTGGCAGTGATCTGCCTGGTGGCGCTAAGGACGATAGAATAGGAGCATTTATGGCGAAAGGGCGTGGGAACGCGGATGATGGACGACGCAATGTGGTCAACGAATAGGCAGCTGCTGAGTAGTGTAGATTGCAACACCATGATAATGACTCTGAGTGGTGCAGAGAAATGACAAGAGAAATGGTAATGAGTGATTATTGTTGCTGGTGTTTAGTGAGGATTAGTTGTAGTGAGCGGCTGCTGAGGCTGTGGTAATATCGTGCCAAGTATAGATTGGGGCAAACTCCACAATCGAGATCTGATTGCGTGTTAGGCAAAGTCAAAATTAACCATGATCTCTGAGTTCGGCCTCGGCACAAAAGGGTTCTGATGCCCATGTTCTCGAAAGTTGCTTAGTTCGGTAAGACTGACGGTCAATCCCACGTTAGCGCCCGTGAGGCTCATCTCATCCCGGACTTACACGTTGCGTCTCGCGACAACCTCCCGTGTTCAACCAACCGCAGCAAAGTGCAAACCATGATAAGATTGTAGATAACGTATCACAAATTTTTCGTCTCTGTGAGTGAGCATCTCGTGCTGCGCCCGCGGGCTCTGGCAAGAAGCATCGACCCGCGGGCAGCTACAAGTCACTGATGCTACGTGTCTAATCATCACCAATCTTGTTAGCATCCTGGCTTGGTCAATCCTACATCTCAGTCCTCAAGTTTGATAGTCACATTATAGCCTCTGACTCAGTGTTTGGCCATCATGGCAGCCATTGCACCAATTGTCAGCAGTTTCTCGCTCATCTTTGGAGGATGTTGCGCAAATGTGAGAAGAAGATCCCGGTCCTCCCATTGCCTTCAATACTAACCAAACCAAGGTATATTGTCTAGAAGCAATCGTAAAGTAACAGGAGCATGCCCAATGCGCAAAACGCAGGTGCTAATGTAGAGACAGACAAGAGCCTGATAGCGGTTTGTTAATCACGCTGTTTCAATTCGTGTTCACTTGTCTCTCGACATTGCACTACCAATTCGATCCCAATGGTCGTTATTATATGAGGAGCTCACCAGTACCATTCCGGAAGTGGTGCGTGAGTGCAGCTTTGTTCTTCATAGTCAACATGTTGAACAACTGGGCATTCGCTTTCAATATCTCGGTCCCGGTCCACATCATTCTCAGGAGCTTTGGCAGTGTCACTACCATGATAGCTGGTTGGCTACGTGGCAAAAGGTACACACCTTTGCAGGTTTTCTCGGTTGCAGTCTTGACGCTTGGTGTCATGGTTTCTGCGTGGGCGGATGCTCAGTCAAAGGTACGCTAGCGGGTTTTTGTTGCTTGGGCCCGCAGATGTTGACGGTTGGCAGGGCAAAAACATGGAGACGTCAAGCAGCAGCATGTCAAGTTCGTCGCTACAGGCTGGTCTTTTGATCCTACTCATCGCACAGCTGCTTTCAGCGTGGATGGGCGCTTACGTTGAAGACATCTACAGAGATCACGGAAAAGACTGGCAGGCCAACCTCTTTTACTCACACTTGCTGTCTATTCCATTTTTTGCTGGATTCGCCCCGACTCTGACGCAGCAATTCAACCGTCTACAGTCATCGCAATCATTCCAGGTGTCGCCCAAGATGGCCGCGTCTCTCCCGCCGCTGGTTAGCACGATTCTCGCATCAACATCCCAGCACATCATATACCTTACCGCCAACGCACTCACGCAGTTACTGTGCATCACTGGCGTCAACATGCTTAGCGCAAACACTTCTGCTGTCACCGTCACAATTGTGCTCAACATCAGGAAGCTGGTGAGTTTCTTGCTGAGCGTCTGGCTATTCGGAAACCACATGAGCGGGCTAATGAAGGTGGGCGCCGCGATGGTGTTTGGAGCTGGAGCGCTATACGGGTGGGAGACGACGTACCGCATACCACAGCAGAGGAAGCGTGAAGCCGAGAAGCAGAAGAAGGGCAATTGATGCACGGAGGGGGCAGTGGACGAGAGCCTGTTTACACAGAGCAATGGTGGCAAGATGGGCATGTGGGTGCAGGGCAGGCGAGGGCGTGAGATGGCATTCGTGGTAATATATTACATAGTAAACGAAGTAGCACCGGGCGCGCCGGTCCGCGTCGTGATGATGCCAAGAATAGATACTCGAGTGGCTTGACCAGACCTTCGGCGCCCCCTCTCTGCCCCTCGCCCAAATAGGGTTTACCATGACGGGCTGGCCAATAGCGGCCGATGCAGGGGGAAGTCGTAAGCGAGACGCCCATTGCGGACTGGTCCTCTCAGACCCTGAACTCGTAGTTAGGTGTCCTGTCTCTTGCAGAGCAGCCCCCGACTCTCTTTCCAATTCCATCAACCATTTTTCTTTCTTGCGGGAGGTAAGCTGGCGCCATCGCATGCTCAAATCCCTCGACCACACGCGCTAACATGCAATTCAACAGGTAGCTTCAAAGAGCCTCAGCCCAACATGTCCTCCTCACCTGCTGGGAGCATCCGCCAGCGAGCAGGCAAAGACAAGAAGCGACCTGTCTCACCCAACCCAGAAGCCTTGTCTGAAAAGGCCGAGAAGGTCGCCAATGTCGTCGCAAAGGGCAAGCCGTACAAGCCCGCGCCGCAGGGCAGCGAATGGGACTACAGGCTTGCCATCACCATCATGACCGTCCTCGCTTTCATCACTCGCTTTTGGGGCATCAGACATCCCGACCAGGTTGTCTTTGATGAGGTCCATTTCGGAAAGGTACGTCTCCGTGTCTAAAAAGCTGCCACATATGTCTCCCACACGCAATGGGGCGCGACGGGTACCTGGACCACAGGGCTAATCGCATCCCGCAGTTCGCTTCTTACTACCTGCAACGTACCTACTTCTTCGATGTCCACCCACCGCTCGGAAAGCTCCTCTTTGCTTTTGCTGGATGGGTTGTTGGATACAAGGGCGAGTTTCTCTTCGAGAACATTGGTGACTCGTACATCACCAACAAGGTTCCCTATGTCGCATACCGTGCCATGCCTGCCTCGCTCGGCGCCCTTACTGTTCCCATTGTCTTCATGATCATGTGGGAGTCTGGATACTCGCTGCCCGCCTGCGTCACCGCTGCCGGACTCATGCTCCTCGACAACGCCCACATTGGCCAGACGCGCCTGATCCTCCTCGACGCCTCCCTTATCTTCTTCATGGCTCTCTCTGTGCTATCCTACATTCGCTTTTACAAGGAAAGACACGCGCCTTTTGGTCAGAAATGGTGGAAGTGGCTCCTGTTGACTGGTATCAACCTGAGCTGCGTCATTTCTATCAAATATGTTGGTGTTTTCACTTTCTTCTCGATTGGTGTCCCGGTCTTGATTGATCTTTGGGACTTGATGGACGTCAACCGACGACAGGGCGCATTGACTCTAGTCGAGTTTGGCAAGCACTTTGTTGCTCGTCTTGTCGGCCTGCTTATCGTCCCCTTCTTCCTCTACCTCTTCTGGTTCCAGGTTCATTTCGCCATCCTTACTCGTTCCGGACCTGGTGACGACTTTATGACTCCAGAGTTCCAGGAAACCTTGAGCGACAACGTCATGAGCCTTCAGTCTGTTAGCATCAATTACTACGATGCCATCACCATCCGCCACAAGGAGACCAAGGTCTACCTTCACAGCCACCCGGACCGCTATCCACTCCGATACGAGGATGGACGTGTCTCTTCTCAAGGACAACAAGTAACTGGCTACCCCCACAATGATACCAACAACCACTGGCAAGTCCTTCCTTCAACGCCTCTCCCAGCCGAGGCCGGTCAGCGCGTCCAGGTAGGCGACGTAGTCCGTCTTCGTCATTTGGTTACCAACACTATGCTCTTGACCCATGATGTCGCATCACCTTACTACCCCACTAACCAGGAATTCACGACTGTGAGCCTGGAGGATGCCGCCGGCGCGCGTTACAATGACACGCTTTTCCAGATCAAGGTCGACAAGGGCAAGGGTGACTTTAAGACCATGTCTACCCACTTCAAACTGATCCACGTCCCCACCAAGGTCGCCATGTGGACCCACACCAAGCCTTTGCCAGACTGGGCCTACAAACAGGCCGAGATCAACGGAAACAAGGCCATCCAGCAATCCAGTAACGTTTGGTATGTCGATGACATTCCTTCGCTCCCAGCTGAAGACGAGCGCAACAAGAAGGAGCCCAAGAAGGTCAAGCACCTGAGCTTCTTGAGGAAGTGGGTCGAGGTTCAACGTGCCATGTTCCATCACAACAACGCCTTGACGAGCTCCCATCCCTATGCGTCGCAACCTATTTCCTGGCCTTTCCTTCTGCGTGGTGTGTCCTTCTGGACCAAGAATGACACCCGCCAGCAGATTTACTTCCTGGGCAATCCCATCGGATGGTGGCTTGCCTCTTCGCTTCTGGCTGTCTTTGTTGGTATCATTGCTGCAGACCAACTGGCTCTCCGCCGTGGTATGGACGCTCTCGATGACCGTAAGTTGTTTCTCTCATACAAACAGCCCAAAATCCTTCACCTAGTAAAGTCGTTTGTATTGGACGGGGATGTTCTAACATTCTTACCTGTAGGCACCCGCTCTCGTCTCTACAACTCGACCGGTTTCTTCTTCCTTACTTGGGCCGCTCACTACATCCCCTTCTACATCATGGGACGCCAGCTTTTCCTTCACCACTACCTCCCCGCGCACTTGGCCTCTTGCCTCGTTACTGGCGCGCTTGTCGAGTTTGTCTTCTGCATCGAACCCCAGGATCCTGAAGTATCTACTGCCGCCAAGGGCCATCGTCGAACACCCTCCCGCCCCGTTCGCGAGCGTGTGGCTTCGTCAAGTCTCATTGGTAGCTGGATTGCAACGAGCGTCATTCTCGCCGCTGTCTTCTGGTGCTTCCTCTTCTTTGCGCCGCTCACTTACGGTAACCCGGGTCTCGACGTTGCTCAAGTCCAGGCGAGAAAGTGGCTCGGATACGACCTTCACTTTGCTAAATAAAATCTTGTTGACGATTTAGACATGTGGAGTGGAGGGGATTTTCTCGAGGTTTGGGGAACACAAGACTTTTTTATTTTCCTTTTTTTCTCTTTTGTTAATCTAGGTTCTTTTTCGCCAGACCTTAGGGCAAAAAACGGTGCAATAGCGTGGATGGAGTGCTGGGTGTGTAAGGGTGCAGTTCAGGTCTCATGTATTCTAACATCACTTTTTTTTCCTGTCCTTTTTGGGGTGGCTGTGAAGAAGGGGGAGGAGCAGCCCCCGAAAAGGGCTGCCCATAGAAACACGCAAAACGCCCTTTTTGTTTTCCTAGTGTTCAGCCATATAGAGTTGTATGGTGAGAAGAATAAATTCGCCATTTCAACAACGAATATGGAAGCAATCCGATTGCAATGTTCGCCTGCTAGAGTTTCTAATACACCACATGTGTCTTATGTGATCAGAGCTTGATTTTCATCTACCTGGAAATGGAGGAAAGTCGGAAAAGTCAAAGGGAGGAAATTCCTGGTTCGTTTGGTCAAAGAACTCGGCAAAGCAGGGACTTCCGTGGTCTTCGAATACAGCCCAAGGCGCCGGGATTGATTCCCTGAATTTGGGCCGCACCATCGACTCGCCTTCATCTCGCCCAGATGCGTTTCCCTCGTTTACCTGTGCAATAGTAATGTTGTCCGTACTATTCTCTGCTTCAAAATTCAAATTCGCCACGAAAACGCTCGACATCCATGCCTGGTCCCACAATATCTGACAAATCTCTTCGTCCCATTTGCCCAAACACTCTCCGGAGGGTATCGTACAGATTTGTGCTTTGATTCTGATGAATCATGTTGTCTAGTTGACTCTCTGACACGCCATCACCGACGACTTCCCTCGCTTTCTCTTTGCCTTCGCGCTCTACTACCTTGTGCATGGCCAGGGCACCGAGCAAGTGCTGTGCTGCCTCGGTGTAGCAGCCGATATTGATGCACGAGACACCGAGGTTATAGCGGGCGCGGACAAAGTTTGGACGGAGGGCGAGGGCACGTGAGTAAGCGTCGATGGCTTCTTCGCTCCGGCCCGAGTTTGCAAGGGTGGCACCGAGGCGGTTCCAGAGGAGGTGGACTTGTGATGATGAGTTTGAGACGCCGGATTCGGTGGAGGCAAGGGCGGCACCGAAACAATCCACAGCTTTTTCGTATTCTTCTACGCCATAGAATAATACACCCAAGCCGACTTGTACGTCGGGGTCCATTTGTTCACCAGACGGTGATAATTGTGCGGCTTGAATGAAAAGATTGGTAACCTTCTCGTGAAGTAGATGGCGGTCTGTGAAGCCCATCTCGGCATCCGACGAGAGCGGTTCCTTGATCAGGGAGGGGTACTTGGTTGCTAACCAACGTTCTAGTGTCCGGTATGCTGTGCTCTCATAGCCTTCGTTTGTGTAGGATACAGCCAGACCCATGAGGGCTTCGAGGTTCGAGGGGTCTTGCTTCAACGCATGTTCCAATGCACGGATGGCGGGCGTTTCCTTCTCATTCTGTGCCTGAGCCTCACCCAACCTCACCCAAGCCGCAATGTGGTTTGGATCCTTTTGTACTGCTGCTTCGAACGCCAGGGCGGCCAATGACAAATTTCCGCCTTCTTCCATGATTTTGACACCCTCCTCGAACGGATTTGTGACGTTCTTGAAGAGGTTCTCCTGCTCAAACAGATAGTCGCCCATGGACGGATCGCGGACCGGATGTGTGTTGAGACCATCGAAACCCTCCCACTGATCAATATCGCCCATGTGTCCTTCGACAAATCTCTCCTCGTTGGCAAGTTGCCTAGCGTATTCAGTCTCAGCTTGGATTCCCTTCCAGACAGACTCGAAATCGTCGAAGTCAACGGCGTCTTTCTCTACTGACCTGTCCATTTCGTTCAGCTCAGCCTCCATAGCCTTGTTGGCTTCCTCGTCGAGCGCGTCCAGGTTCTGTTGGTCGGTCTGTTCCAACTGCGCAAACTGTGCTTCCCAGTCATGGTCGTCGAGCTCGACCATGCGTCCTTTGCCCTTTCCTGAATCCTGTACAGGCTGTTGAAAGTTTTGTGGTGCATATGGCTGTTGCATCATGCCCATGCCCATGCCCATGCCGCCCATACCCATACCCATACCCATGCCGTACATGGGCTGCTGGTAAGCCGACATGGAAGGCTGTGATGCAGTTGTAGGGCTTGCGGTCCGGGCGGTAGGGTTCATTTGCTGGAACTTTGCGAATTCGGCAGGGTTGAAGCCCGCTGGTCTCTCTTGCATGGCTGGACCCATTTGGGGAGCCTGCATGCCCGGATCGAACTCGGCTGCCCATGCTGGCGATCCGCTATGCTGGGCTCGCTCCAATTCTCGACGCATCTGCTCCATGGCAAAAGGTGATGCCGGCCCGGGCCCTTGTGGAAGTTGTACATTCTGATTCATGAACTCGTTCATCATCTGCCAGCCTTTGGGTTAGTCATGGTATATTTTCTCTACTCTGCATTTTTTTGCATGCGCTGTTGCTGACTTACACCATCGGAAGGACCACCCATCTGCTGACTTCGCATGCCCTCCTGCATACCGCCTGGTCCGCGCCCGACCAGACGGTCGCGTTGTAGAGATTTGTCATCTTGTACATGCTTGGTGAACTGGCTGAGCGGGTTGGCCCCTGTGGAGCACTCGGCACCGCCGAGGAAGGACATGATTAAATCTGCGATGAACGGGCAATTTCAATGAGTTATTTACGGTGCGACGAAGAAGAAGAAGGGGTGGTGAACAAAGAGACAAGTAAGGACGTTGGGGGTGAGTGAGTGGAACCCGCGCGTCGAGTAATTGATCAGCAGCAGATGCCGGGCGGAGATGGTACGCGGGGCAAGCCGAGGTCGCAGCCGGTCGCGCTTGCCGAATCCTGGTCCACACTTCGCCGCCGCCCTGCATGCAACCACGGCATTGGCTTGACTTCGATGCATCGATCAAACTCTTATTAGAAACCATCAAATACACGTATATTTTTCACCCTATGTGATTTACAAATGAAGAGGGGAATGACAACGCCGGACGCTCTCCACTGTGAACCAAGCAACTTGTATATCAACATGGGGCATAACTGACCACACGCAGGTCTAGTCATACATATCGTACAGAGAGGCCCATCCCCTTGCAGTCGTCATTCGTATTCCTCCAAATGAGAGGTAGTCCCTTCATTTTTTGTTTTACAATCCATCCCGTACCGTCACCCGATTCTCATCTATTCCTGGAACGAATCCTGGCGCTTCTGGCGTTGTGTCTGTGTGTTAGATGTGCTGAAATCGACGCGGAGTTGTCTGCCATAAATGATCTTCTCCTTAAGAACTTCTTTGGCACGGGTGGCGCTGGCCACATCGATGAAGTCTGCATGAGCAAAGCCTCGCGGTTGGCCGGTTCTCCTGTCAATGGCAACACGTACATCTGTGACGTTGCGAATGTCTCGGAAGAGGTCGTTGAGGTCCTTGTCTGACATTTCAAAAGACATGTTGCCGATGAAGAGCGTTTTGGTTGGAGGGTTGGGCTCGCCATTAGGGCTGCGCGCCTTTGTCGTCTGATATTTGGGCGAGTGGTACTGGACGACAAGGTTGCGGCCTTCAAACACCTGCATGTCGAGGTTGTCAATAGCAGCCTGTGCATCACTAACGTTTTTGTATTCGACATAGGCGAAACTAAACAAACGGCGTCAGTCAATATTGGGCCATATGGTGTGGAGAATATTACCCTCTGCTTAGACCCCGGTTGTCGTAGACCATCCTGACACTCTCAATATCACCAAAGCGAGAGAACACACGCTTCAGCTGGTCTGGGGTAACTTCGTAGTAGAGGTTGCCAATGTAAAGCACATTGTGGGGTTCAATGTTCTTGGGTGTTCGTTCCCTGTTGCCCCGCGGGCTGGTCTGGCTAGATTTGGTGGCGGCAGCCTCGAGCGCATCTGCGCCGACAGTGGCAGACTTATCGGTGGGCTCTGCCTGTGCCTCTTGTTGTGCGGGCGTCAAGTTATCCTCGATAGGCGCCTCTGCTGCTGTCTGGGCAAAGTTCTCGGAGGCTTCTGCGGCAGCAGCCTCAGGCGAGTCGGTTTTGGACACCTCATCGCTAGCGAATCTCCTTTGGAAAGAGATAATTGACCACTGTTGCTGCCTTGGACGGAACGTCGAGGGTGTGAGAGTAGCAATGGAGCGCGGCTGGACCAGATACGCCTTGGAGGGCGAGGCACTGATGGCGCGGGCGGCAGCACGGCGGAGGAGAAACCTTCATGGCTGGTAAGTATATATGGCCAATGTTCCGTATGGGTATGTCTTACATGGTGGCGATTGGACAAAGGCTGGCGATAGTCACTCGAAATTCCAGAGGGCGATATGCGGTAAATTTTTGGACATGCATGGTAGTCCCGCGCTAGATGTCGGTCACGTGATGCAGCACCGATCCTAGCTAGGGTGGGCGACAGACACGGTATGGTCGAGTTTCCCCCGCCGACAACATTGCAAGCCGAGGGTGAGGGGCCTAGCGAATTAGTCCATACGCAGTATTTATGTGCACATGGCCGTGGTAGACCTGCACGAGTGCAATCATACCTGCGTGCAGCCTCCATGTCTTTTTGCTGAGTCCTTCTCGCCATGCCGCTAGGAGCAGGTGTGACATGCAGTAGTCATCGAGTCCATATTTGACATAATGGCACGGGGCAAGGCGACTGGTCGGCGAGGTCCGATGCGCGTTGCTTGTGTGTGTGAGTCTTGTTCGCAGTTCTGCATCCACCCCGGCATTCACAACTCCCACCCTTCAATGCCACCATGCTGAAAGGTAGCCCTTCGCTGACCCTTCCATCTCTTACCCAACCATACTGATGTGTCCTGCAGGAGCATTTTCTGCCGATGCGGATGCGTCACCAGACTTTGGCCCTGCCCGCGACGATCATATATTTTCGTCAGAAGAAGACGAGCTCGATCTAGAGGACTCGGACACAGAGCCCGGCGGCAGCGGGCGTACAAAAACCAATTATGGTGCGACTTCAGCATCGCAGCGAGGTGCCGGCCCCAGCATGGAAGACGACGATGACGGCATACTCCCCCGCGACAAACAGCGCCGGACTGCCTTCTACGACTACACTGCTGAGAAGCAAATGAGCCACACCGAAGCCAAGCAGTTCTATCAGAGGCATCAGCTCGAGACGCAGCACGGCGGCCCCCAAGCAGACATGCACAGCCCCGCCATGCGCGCAAAGACATTCCCCGCCAATTTCGGTGGCACTGACGGTGTCGACTTTCTCAGCAGGGCCGAGAGTACTCGCTCGCGGAAGAGCAATGTCAGCCATGCCAACCATGTCCAACGGCCTTACATACCCATCGGCTCGTCACACGCAGAGCAGTTGCATGAACCTCGTCGGCACATGACCCAGCAAGTCCCTGACCCTATAGGTGCCCACAACGAGACCGACCAATTTCTCCAGGCTGATCAACAGGCCAGATCGCATGGCCAACACCCTAATCTTCCTCATGAACACAAGCCTCTTCTGGCTGAACAAGGGATCCACGGTGCAGGTGCAGGCATAGGCGTTGGGACAGGGGCAGGAGGATTCGCAATGTCTGATTCCAGCATCACTGCTGAGCTCAGTTCCATCTACGCAAACATTCAAAAAGTGCTTGATCTGCGCCACAAGTACATCCGTTTGTCGTTGCAACGCTCCTTCGACAATCCCAAAGATGACCCAGCTTGGCGCATTTACCCATCTCCTCCAGAGCCTGTGTGGAATGATACTTCCAAAGAGCGTCGGAATGCAGCTAGTAGCATGCAAAACAGCGGTATTCTAGAGCCGAATGAGATGCCTAAGCCACCTCGTAAAATGGGCACCAACATCGGCGAAGATTTCCACCTGGAAGAGTGCCTTCCCGTGCCTGGTCCTGGTGAGATGTCGTTCCGGCTTGACGACAGTGGCGTGTACCAAGTATATGAGACTGCTAAATCTGCTGAGCTTGATACACCCATTATTGCAATCCCAACATTGCGCGAATTCTACATTGATCTCGATTCCATTCTGGAGATATCTTCCGATGGACCCAGCAAAAGCTTCGCTTTCCGCCGCCTCCAATACCTCGAAGGAAAGTTCAACCTTTACTATTTGCTCAACGAGTACCAAGAGACAGCCGATACCAAGAAGGTACCTCACAGAGACTTTTACAATGTACGAAAGGTCGACACGCACGTTCACCATTCTGCATGCATGAACCAGAAGCATCTGCTGCGCTTTATCAAGTCGAAGATGAAGAAGTCTCCTGACGAGGTAGTGTTGTACCGTGATGGTAAGCATCTCACGCTGAGGGAAGTATTTGAGTCCATCAACTTGACGGCATACGATCTGAGTATCGACACACTGGATATGCATGTAAGTAACGTAACGACTTGGCATTCTTGTTACAACGATGCTAACCATACAGGCCCATACCGACTCATTCCATCGCTTTGATAAGTTCAACTTAAAGTACAACCCAGTTGGTGAATCACGTTTAAGAACCATTTTCTTGAAGACAGACAATTTCGTCAAAGGCCGCTACTTGGCTGAAATCACCAAAGAAGTCATTTCCGATCTCGAGGCGAGCAAGTACCAGTTCGTAGAATGGCGCATTTCCATCTACGGCCGAGACATTGACGAGTGGGACAAGCTTGCGGCTTGGGTTGTTGACAATAAGCTCTTCTCGCCCAACGTTAGATGGCTGATTCAGGTTCCGCGCTTGTTTGATGTGTACAAGGCAACTGGTCTAATGGATAACTTCCAGCAAGTTATCGTGAATGTATTCCAGCCTCTGTTTGAAGTCACCAAAGACCCTTCAAGTCACCCCAAGCTCCACATTTTCTTGCAGAGGGTCATTGGCTTTGATAGTGTTGACGACGAAAGCAAAGTCGAGCGCCGCGTGTACAAGAAATTCCCGTTCCCGAGCGAGTGGTCTACAAAGCAGAACCCGCCATATAGCTACTGGATGTACTATCTGTTTGCGAACATGTCGTCACTTAACGTCTGGAGAAAACAGCGGGGCTTCAACACGTTCCTCCTCCGTCCGCACTGTGGTGAGGCTGGTGATACCGATCATTTGGCTGCAGCGGTTCTTTGCTGCCACAGCATCAGCCATGGCCTACTACTCCGAAAGGTGCCTCTTCTCCAATACATTTTCTATCTTGAGCAGATTGGTGTGGCCATGTCGCCTCTCAGCAACAACGCGCTCTTCCTGGCGTATGAACGAAACCCGTTCATGAGCTACTTTAGACGGGGTCTGAACGTCTCGTTGTCGACGGATGATCCTCTCCAGTTTGCTTTTACCAAGGAGCCTCTGATTGAAGAGTACTCAGTCGCGGCGCAGATCTACAAGCTGAGTGCTGTGGATATGTGTGAGTTAGCCAAACACTCAGTCGAGCAGAGTGGCTTTGAGCATGTAGTCAAGCAAAAGTGGTTGGGCAACAACTACCATCTCCCCGGTGTTGCGGGTAATGACATGGCAAGATCTAATGTGCCCAGCATCCGCGAAGCATTCCGACATGAGACTCTCATGGGAGAGCTGGCCATGTAAGTTTTATGCCTGAAACTTTTCTTGGATATTCATACTAACACGACCCAGGATTGATCGCTACACTCGCGCAGCCCAGGCCGGCAGCCACGACCTAACCAGCTCCAACCTGCAATCTGAGGTACCCCAGACGCCCAAATCGCTCCAAGGAGTCGCGTTCCCCGGGTCACCAACGCACGTCTCAGCTGCGGGTAGCAAACAATTCTTCTCCATGCTTCCCCCTGCTCAAGTCGCCCGCCTCAAGCCCTCAGGATCCACCGCCGACGCAACCAACTCGCAAACTCAACCGGCGTCACCAACCAGTGCCCACGATGGCAGCAACGTCGACCGTCCGCACCGCACCAACAACATGACCGTCAACCCCAACGCCGTGCCTACAGTCCAACAGCCGGTAGACGGTCAGGCCCCACCTGCCGGTTTAGATGACCCAGACTCGGGACTAAGGCGTTCAACTAGTTCCGTCACGTTGGACGGGGAGCCGAAATTGTTCCCAGGTGTTGTGAGCAGCAGGAGTCGTAGGCGCAGTACCAAGAATAGTCAGACTGAGGATGGAGAGGGGGCGAGTTCGCGTCTGAGAAGGTATCCGACGGGGGAGACGGAGAGCGTGGTTGAGGAGAAGGATACGGATGATGAGGAGTGAAAAAGGATGGAATTTATGATGGTGACTTGAAATGGCGATTATCAATACTAGACATGAATTTATTTGTTTCGGGTTCGTCTTTGGTATACTCGTTACTACTTCATATCCATATTGACGACTGCATTATATGCTCCAACCTATGTTTTGGTGCAGGAAGATATTCGTCCCTGCTATATACATACCAAATATCACAAAACTGTGTAAAGGAAAATCGTTCTTAATTGTCGCATGCATTCCGTACGTTGATGGGATGGAGACGCCAAAGCCAAAAAAAAAGCAATAATGCAAACGCTCGCTGTACGGACGGAAAACAGAACCACCCAAAAAGGCCAAAGATTGTTTTGTGAAAAAAAAAATGCGAAAAGCGAGCGCCAAAAAAAAGATGAAATGAGCAAATAGGTGTGAAGAAAAAAAACTAGGTCAAAGAAAGGAAAAGCTACCAAAAAGGATTGGAGAAGATTCCAGGATCAAGAATTGATAGTTTGCGAATAACAATCCAAACACCAGGCATCCCCCTCTTCCCCCACCTCCACTATACACTTTTTACAAATCGCCTTGGCGCAGCCAACACACTGCCTCGCGCAGATAAAGCACGTTCTCCCCTCACACCTTCTACAGTCGAGATAGTTTTCCAAGTCCTTCTTTCGCGTGGGAGCCTTCTTGCACGCATGGCACGAACGGAGGTCGGAGACGGCATGGTGGTGTGCCGGCGTCCCGCAGGTAGTAGGGGCTTGGACATCGAGATCGATATCCATGAGGTGCGAGGTTGATTTTACGAGGGGGGCTTTGGGGCTGAAGCGTTTGAGCTGTTTGACGGGGCGGCGGTCGGACGAGAAGTCGGTGGGTTTTGAGGGGAGGAAGGCGTAGGAGAGGGTGTTGTTGGAGTCGAATGGCGGGGTATTGGGATGGTGGAGGCGGGGGGAGTCGCGGCTTAGTGAGGAGCGGTGTTGGCGTGGGATGGTCTTTGGGGAGATGTCGGTGCCGGACGTGTGAAGTGAGGTACATGGGCGTTCGTAGAGTTGTGGTCTATCGTCGCCTGCTTGTCGCTTTCTCTTGCCAAGACCGGCGGCGGGCTGGTCGGGGGCCATGGTATGCCAATTGTGAGATGTGCCGTCTTGTTGCCAATCGCGTGCGGTGCTGGGGCCGAAGAGGTCGGAGGTAATGTATACCATGGTGGCGGTTGCGGCGGTTGTTGTGGTTGTTGTTGTTGTGGTGATGGTTTTACGGCGAGGTGAAGGAGCACTGGTGTAGTCTTGAAGAAGGCGAAAAGAGGTGGAACGTGCGATGATGCAACCCAGAGACACTGGTACGCGAACAGTACTATACGTGTCAGGCAAGGCAGTGGATACAGACAGGGTGCGGGACGTGGGTCTCGAGGGGGAAGAGAGCGACCAAGGGTTGGGCCCAATGTTGTTGAATACGAAGTCGACGACGACGAGAGAGGACGGACGGGCTGTTGTCGGGCCTAGAAACAAGGCACATGCTCGGCGTACCTGACTAGCGGCCGAATCAGGCATCCGACAGGGGACCGGCTGACTTGACCCCCACGACGCGCTTCACGTGCTGCCAAGCCTCTCCCTTCACGCTCCTCTCGACACGCGACGGGCGACGGCAACGAGAACAGCGACGACAGCAGCAGCATTTGCGCACAACCAGCGCCCGCAAATACCCCCGGCTCTGGCACTCTTGCGTCTGTGTCATGTTCGCCGCCTGCGCGTGATTGGCATGACATCGCCATTCGCAGCACTACTACCACATACCCCACACTGTGATACCCCCTGCACGCTGAAAGCTGGAGAAGATGGACAGCGTCAATGTCTCTGAATTGGTCGCCCGCCTCGGCGCGGAGGAGGAGTCGGTGCGCAAAATGGCCGTCTTCAAACTCCAGAATGCCATCGGCGACCCTTCATTCGCTGATGTCTTCATCTACGAAGGGGGCCTGCCTAAGCTGCGCTTTCTGGCCCTGCACTCGACCGGAAACACACTGGCCTATTGTCTCACCTCTCTGGCCCGCCTGCTCGAGCTGGACAAAGGATGGGACCATGTCACGGATGATTTGATTGCAAGAGTAAGTCAAGAGAGGAGAGACTGTTGTTGTGCGTGAGTACATCTAACCAGTGCACAATAGATAGTCGACCTCGTCGTCGCACAACCACTTGTCAACGTCAATCGAGGCGCCATGTCAGTCCTTGCCGTAATCGTTGGCCATCCCTCGCACCGAAGCTCCCACTCAGGCACTACAGGCCTCCAGCGCCTCAAGCCAGCCGTCGACGCCCAGCCCCAGTTCCTATCCTCCTTGGTTGACAAAATTACGTCGGCCGACCATGCGCTCTGTGCAAACTCTCTCCAGCTTATCAATGCGTTGATGCGTGACGCCATTGCAAACGATGCCGCCTTTGAATGGCCCAAGTTCATAAAGCAGCTCCAGGAGCTGGGCGTGATCAAGAGCGTATATGGGCTCATGCAGAGTACCGCAATACAAGACCTGGCTCACCCATTATTGGACTTTCAGACATTGACCAAGACGTTGCTGAGGAATTGGAGGGAAGAAAAAGTGGATCTGGAAATTTCCGACCATCGAAGGGCTATTCGGGGCCTTCACACTGCGAGTCAACCAGACAGGTCATCGTCAGATCCAAAAGGCAGCAAGAAGCACCATCCGGAAAAATGGAGCCGGCTGGGTTTCGAGACAGAGTCGCCGGCGTGGGAGTTCAATGGGACTGGATTCTTGGGGCTTATGGACATTACAGACTTTGTTTATAAAAACGAAGATGGCTTTCAGAAGCTTTTATTGGAGCAGTCGGCCGAGCCGGCCGAGCAACGGTGTCCGATTGCTCGGGCAAGTCTTTCGGTCACGCAAACACTATATGAGCATTTTGAAGTGGATAAATTGGATGACGTTGAGTCTATCCGCCATACCGACTCGCGGGCCAACTTTGACCGAGCATTCAAACCTTTGTTGCTGCATTGGTCTAGGTTACACACGAGTGGTCTGAATGCCTTCATCCGATTATGGAAAGCAGCAGGCGCGCAGATTGAAGACTTTGAAAAGATTGAGGAGCTGATTCGCATCTTGATTGAGCAGGTGGTGGGACAAGCACCACGAACGAAAGATGTCAAGGAGGTTGAAGAGGAGCTGGCAGAGTTTGAGCTCAAACGGCTGCGAGAATTGCAGATGGAGGTGCTTGAACTGACGTATGAAGATGCATGGGGCCATCACCTGCGGTATGCAGTTTGCCTGTTGGATGCCGTGCCAAGCTAACACTCGACAGCCAAGTTCGCGACGAGCTCAATCACGAGGCGCTGCAGTTTGTCAAAGAGCAACGTATAAGATGCTTGCTTCAGGGTGCATGGTTCCCAATGGGAGCAGACTTTGGCACAAACACCGGCCCGGTAGCTGGCAACCGTGCAGTGCCTTCGTCGTGGCGCTTTGTTCGACTGTCACACAACCGGCGATACCTGCACTACGCTGACTTTAACGAAAAGACGGCGACAGAGCCGAAATTAGATGCGCTGCAGGAAAAGAGTAAGTACTACGCGCTCCGCTAGGTGCATCCCAGGGCCCAGTTGCATTTTCGCGGCGGCTGACACTTGAATCAACAGTCGATTTGTCCATTGTCTCATCGGTTGTGAGCAATGTCTCGGCTTCGGCCCCGTCGACGGCATCGTCTGGCAGTACGGTGAGGACGCTGCCAGGCCATGAGCGGGCGTCGACGTCGACCAAAATCACAATCCACGGGTACATGGCTCTATCCAATCATGCGCGGCAGACGTCGAGTGGGTCAGGTGCAGGACGCAAAGAAAGTGTGCTGTTGCATCTGCACCCTCAAAGCCATACCCTTGCTTCCGAGTGGCTTGATGGGCTGCTGATGCTTCTCAACCAACAGCCGATTACGGCGAATACCAATAAGCTTGTGACATTTATCGGGGGGTATGGGCTCAAGATCCGGCTGCTCAACGTACGGTACGAGGATGTAGGGTTAGAGGAACCAGTGCTGCCCAGCCGCGAAGGGCTGGATGACGAGTACTATTGTGAGTGTTCTTGGTGTGGAGTGGAGGTGGCAGGTGGACCTTGTACTGACGCGTCACGTGTAGATGACATTGCAGGAGCTTGAGGCGGACAGCGACAGGCAGTCGCCTGCAGACGAGGGGGGGGGTTTCCTTAGACAAGCAAGCAAGATGGGATGTGCACGGTGGAGGTGGGTATGTATGTGGGGAGGAGTGGTTGGGGCCGGAACAGGGCGGGGTGCAGGCTGTTGGGTAGGCTAAGGACAAGTGTGCAAAGTCCACTTTATAGTGCTTGGAGGGGGGCATGGCGGGGTATGTGCCGCCGGACGTGATTGCTGGCGAGCTGAGGATGTTCAGACTGGCGGTTGGGTTGGGTTTGGCGGCTGGCGGTTGGCGGTCGGCCGATGACGGCGGGCAGCGGAGGCGCTTCTCTTGAGATACCCTTTCCTTTGTTGGATACTGACTGGATTTTGTCTCCTTGCCTTTACACCTGTTAGATATTGCAATGCCACAAGACCAGGACCAGCAAGCGAAGCGTGTACTTGGTGCTGCAATGGATCGGGCGGCGGGCGGACGAGCGAGTGGTGAGTGCTTTGTGCTGCTTTGTTTTGCGCCATGTTGCACAGCGCATGGCCGGGACGTTGCACGGGACGTGCTCGAGCGCAGTTGTGCTCTCGGTCAGCAGGCAAGATTCCAGAAGCAAATACGCACGCTCTGGACGTCCATGATACGGGAGCCATGGGCAAAGGCTAGCTGGTGCGCAATCCCATGGACCGGGTATAGCAGCGGGCATGCGGTGTGTCGCACGCTAGGAGCGCCGCGAGACCCGCTGGCGGTCGGAGGGCGGAGACGGCGGCTCTGAAACAGCGAAGGCCAATGGTGGAGAGCAGAGAGTTGCAGAGGCTCATCGCGGTGGATTGACTCTCGGAGGAACCACCACGGCTCTACCAAGGTCCGTGGGCGCGGTGGACAGGACAGGAGGCTGCTGCACCGCTGCCCTAGCTGCACATGTGGCATCCCGTCACCCAATATGCTCCCGCCCAGCCGGTGCCTCTGTCGTAGCCACGCTGCCTCTCACTAGAGCTTTGCTGCTCTGGCCTGCTACTCTGCTCAGCCTCTGCACTGCTACCCTCTTGCGCTCCAGTGTAGTTTCTTTCTTTTTCTTTAACATCACCGGCCTGGCCCTTGTTTCCACCTCGGATAGCCTTCCGGCCCGCCATTCGAATGCCCATCATACTACCTGCATACTTACATAGTACTTTTGCACACCACCCTCCACAGCCCGCCCATCTGCCTCACCGTGCCCTGGGCGGCCCCGGAGCATCCCTCGTCCTGTCATCCACATCCACCACCACTGCCCCTTGGCTGAACTTCTCTTGTCCCTGGCTCCAAACCGACGACAACGCCATCGCCGTTCCACACTATTCAGGCCGATGCCATGAGGAGCAAACCCAGAAGCACTACGCTGCCTCTCCCACAGGCGGAGTTCGAGGCGCTGCCCGATTCGGTCCAGTAAGTGCAACCAGCTGCTTGTGATTGGCCCGCCAGTGTGATAGGGGCGCATGTGTCACGTGCAGATACCGATACCCACCCCCCGCCATGAATGGCTGTACCTTGCAGTAGCATGAGGACACCCTTGAGAATATCGTCGCTAATTAGTCCCCTTCTAGGAGAAAGTACTTTTCGTCCTTGGAGCGTCTGCAGATCCAACGGCAGGCCTTGGACGAGCCTACATCAGGCCGCTCTTCCCAGGCCAGTTCCTCCAGACTCCACCGGCCCACGTTGTCACTAGGTGCCGCACGCCGCAGACGCAGACTCGAAAAGCCTGTGCTCGAATACGACATCTCGCCCGCTGACGTTGAGTTTTTCTTCTCTCTACCCGAAAAAGTCCGCAAGCAGCTGTTTTCGCACGAGGAGCAGTTGCTTCTTCAAGGCTGGCGCGACCATTCCTTCACGGCCGACGACCCAGACGCCGAGTGGGCACAGCAACGCTTCGACGACTTCTACTTTGACTTTTCACAGTCGTCTAGTCTCGACACTGCCGAGCGCGGACGCTTCTTAAGACCACGTTCAGTATCGTCAGCAGAAAGCCCACTGAGCGGACCGAGCGGCCTCTTTGCGGCCTTGGAAAAGGTCCCGGATTACTCCACTACTCCTTCATACCTCGACACCATGGCCACCCCTACTCCTATATTCACCTCCAAGGAAATGCCTGCCCGCCACATGAGAAGAGCAATGTCCCTTACCTCCTATCCTGTCCGTGGCGGATCATCGTCCTCTCCCTTTGGGCCTCCGTTCCTGAGTGGTATCAACACTCGCCCCCACCAACGCTCACAATCCTCTTCTCTCACTGGCCGCACGCCAGTCCACACGCCCGTTTCTCCTGTATTCGACCCCGAGGCCACTCACTACCAGGACCCGGAGGCGAGGAAGAAGCTACGCATGTACCTTGCTTCTCCTCAAAAGTTTGATGAAGCCATAGAATTCGGCTTCCCATCATCAACAAGCCCCGACACTACTGCACCGCACTACCACCTACCACAGATTGACACTCATGCCTGCAAATTCAGTCGGGACATGCAAACATTTCTCAGAGACGGACAACTGTCCTTCTTCGAGGATGACCGTCACGATAACGAAGGGTTAGAATCAGATGCCGACTCTGTTGCCGACATGGAATCGCCAGCTACGCCCTCCAGTACCGGCGTATCTTTTCGTATACATTCTCGCCAAACATCACATCGGAACTTGTCCCTGGATTCACCAATGCCATCGCCTGTACACTCAACACACGCCCAACTAAACCGGGAGATGACTCTGCGCATGACCTTGACCCGTCCGGATCTCCGTGCAGACGAAGACCAGCTGTATGGCTGGCAAGGCGCCTCGTCTAGCCCCAAGCCTCGAAAAGACGATCCTTTGGCGCTAGAGGATCTTGTCTTCAGCGACGACATGACCGGCACCAAAGGCGCATTCTATGTCAAGCCCAAGCCGCGCGGAAACCTAGTCAGCCGCCTGCTCAAGCGCACCAGTTTGAAATCTCGATGAACTACATCCGCTAGTTACTCGAAGCGTGTCACCCTTGTGGGCCTCGTGCTCTCTTTTCTTTCTAGTCTATTTTTAAACCCTGTTGTTACTTTCTTAGTTCTAATTCACCAACAGGTCTGCTGCGTTTGAGCGGGCGTTTTTGTTGTCGTTGCTCTTTTTTTGGTTTGACACACTGGTTTGGGCACCAGAATTGTACGATATACTACGATGCACAATACGACTCAGATGCATGAATGAGGCGTTTTCCTTTCAACCCATCCATGCCAGGTTCTTCCTGTGCAATTCAACTAGTCAGATTTATCAAAGAATGATTTGCGGCAGCCATTGAGATCGGCAAGTCAGTGTAAGGATTATTACACTGAGCATGACTCTCTCTCTGTCTTTTTCCCACCAAAAAGCGTCTTCATTGTATTTGTTACTTTGTTTTTTGCCCTTACTCGAGCGTATCTATTGGCAATAAAGCTACCTTTGCAGAACAGACCAGGTTGTCTCGCCTATTGACTATACACTCTATCACTCTCCCTTGCTTTTTTTTCAAATAGTCTTATTTCCCCTTCTTGTTCGTTACATGACTAGTTATCTCCTTCCACCGATCATTGCGATGCCGTTCGGAAGAGAGAACGAGACCAAAAGGGGATACCGGCACACGGGCCCCTTATTTGGCCGAGGATTTTGTGTTTCGAGCTAAAGGACGGCAGAAAACGCGCCCCCCACATATCAAACGAGTGATAGAGTAGTAGCCGGAAAATAAACCCGTAACGTGTACACAAGTTTGTCCAACAAGGATTACTTCATGAAAGTAAATAACAAGGGTAGTTTCTACAAATGGAGCCAAGATTGTCAAAAACATGTCAGTGTGCTTATGATTACCCTCTGCGCAGGCAACGATCAGCATCAGCAGTGCTTACATGTCATATGTCATATGTCGTGTCCATGTTCTATTTGATGACAAGAGCAAAAAAGGCAAGCGGCATGTTTGTGATTACAGTTAGAAACCGGGGTGTGGGAGGGGGCGATGACCACGACGGGCGCATGAAGTCCGAGTCAGCAGAGAAACGGCTATACTTCTGAAGGCGCAGCACACGCGTGATAACAAACGCCTGAGGGACATTGGTGTCGAGGGGGCGGGGCAAGTATGATACATGCTATTGCTACAGAAAAAAAGCAAAAAAGCAAGTCGCGACATTGGCGTATACGCCGGTGAGAAAGCATGTGAGCAAAGTAAAACATATAGGTTCCATCGGCCTGTATTAACAAAGCTTGAGATAGAGTACTGTAGTGCAAGGCTATCCATGTTTTTTTTTGTTTTTTTGGTTCTCCATCTTTTGCAACAACATTTGTATGACGCTGGATGTTAGCTACTACATGCCTACGTTTGTCCGTTACACGCTTTACACCTTCTACCAAGAAACCTATGGATGAACGAGAATAATAACACAATCTATGAAAAGAAAAAAGAAGGAAAGAAAGATTTTTTTTAAAAAAAAAAAAGTTTCCGCACAGCCAAAACGCCTTCTCTTCACAAACACATTTCCCATTTCTCACGTCATCCGCAACATTCCACTCCACACGCACTCCTCTTCTCCTCCAGACATTTCCACCACACCCCCAAAACCGCCGGTCCTCTCTCCATCGTCACTTTTACCAACCCCCCCCTCCCCTCCCTCTCCGTCGCACCACCCTAACTCTAAGCCCCCGCCCAAACACAACACAACACCCTTTAGTCCCGCGCCCCTCCCAACTCCACACTTACGCCACAGTGCTAAACCACACCATTCCTTGGCAACAACTTGCAAGATTGACACTACGCCACTTCGTCTAGCCCCCCCTCCCCCCTTTGCTCTTCTCAGCCACTCCGTTCAGCTCCGCGAAGGAACAAAAAAAAAGAACGGAGCAAGGTTGGGGGGTAAAGCAAGAGTAGAGAGGGAGAGAAAATAAATCCGGTTCTTACTACGTACTGTACAGTAGTAATGCAAAGAACAAGAGAGTTAAGGGGGGGGGGGTGTGCAGGAAAAGCCACCTCTGGACCCTTGTTTTCACACCCACATACACACAGACACACTTATTTTTTTTTACAGTTTGGGGGGGGGTGAGTTAGTGGGTTTGACCGGGCCGGTTTTGTTGGTTTGAATGGTGCCGGGTTTGGAGGGAAGAAAACAAAACCGGGGCCTGGGAGGATGATAGTACGTAGCGGAAGGTTGGGGTGGGTTAGTTTAGTGAGAAAGAGAAAGAGCAGAGTTGGTTGGTGGGCCGCATCTCTATTTTTTTTTCTCTCTTCTCTTCTCTTCTCTTGTGTCAGCGCTAGTACTGGTGGTTTAGTTGGGGTGGAGACAGAAATTGAAATGATGAAACGTGCTAAGGTTTTGTGGCTAAGCGTTTTGATGGTTGGGGGGTTAGTGTGAGGAGTTTGGGGGAAAGAAAAGAGGGTTCGGCAGATGCGAGATGGGTGGGCTTGTGGTGAGGGATTTTGGTAAAAAGGTTTACGGGTGTGCTTGGTTTGGGGAAAGGTGGGACGGGTAGAGCTTTTGGGGGGGGGGGTGTTTTTTCTGTGAGGTACTAACGTATGGAGAAGGGAACGGGTGGCTCGTGGGCTTGGAGGAGGAGAGAGGTAAGCGAAGGTATACGTAGGCACTATCATTCAGATAATTATCTCCAACTACATTCATGATGGAGTGGTAAGTACTGTTGTGTTGTATTAGCTAGACATGTACCTCTTCGACACATTGACTAGTAGCGTGAAGCACGAATTGCCAACTTCCCCTCTTGCCATCACCAAAATGTTTGCCCCAAGCCATAGCACACCACTACACCTCCTCGCAACAGTACCGGTATTCCCAAGACCCGGAAGATCAGCACATCCGTTCTAAGCGCAGCATCTAAATTCTACAAGACCCACAGAATGACGCGACATACATTTCTGCTACGGCAAAAATCAATCCATATTACCCGTAGTATACCTGCCCGCATCGCCCTCGCCCCCAAAACATAAACACAAATCTAGTTATACGCCTGCAGTATGCAGGAGTCTACGGAAGCAGACCAACAGGCCAAGCAGCTACTAGGATACACCGGCGCAGGGTCTCATTACAATATGCGAAAGAGGAAGCCCCACAACGTCAAGCGAATCCACGCAATCCGACTCGCTTCATGTACTTATAATTACACTTTCATGCTACTCGAGCCATTCGGGTAACATGCAGCACAGAGAACAGCTGTGGCGAACCCACTATCTGCACGTCCCAAACTCGCTCACTTCTTTACATGCAGGATTTGATTACGACTTTTCATGCATTAGATGCACCAGGGGTTGCTTGGGTTCACAAACATGTAACATCACGCCACTTGGTGGATCTCTACAAAGCTCTCGTAATCTTTTGTCATTGCTCATGGTATTATCATCTTGCTGCAACGGATCACGGCAGTGTCATTGTTATTTCCTTCTACCTTGACAGCGCAATGTCGTCGATTCGGAGAATCATCTTGACCGTCTCGGCTGCCAACTCAATGGCGCTGGTACTAACCAACAGTGGCTGCAGCACATTCTCTTCGCTAATGTCGTTCTTGACGCCTCCGCTCTTGATGCTAATTCCTGCGTACTTTTGATCTTGCGCATGTCTATGCCTCAGCTCGGTGACGACCTTGATGCTGTTGAGACCTGCGTTTTCCGCTAGTGTAGTTGGGATGACCTCCATGGCATCGGCAAAAGCTTTCCAGCAAATAGCTTCAGTGCCGGTGAGTTCACGAGCCTTGAGGGAGAGTTGGTGTGCAATTTCGATTTCTGGAGCACCTCCACCAGCAAGAAGCGCCTTCTTCTTGACTAATGAGCGGATAGCGCAGTGTGCGTCGTGAAGCGATCGCTCCGTCTCGTCCAGAATCAGGCTATTAGCACCCCGGCAGACGATAGACACGGTGTTGGCTGCTGACTTGACACCCGAGACCTTGACATATCGAGCGCCTGATGCCTGTACTTCCTCAACAAGGTCGGCCGAGCCAAGCTTGTCTTCTGTGAACGAGTCAATGTCGGCGATGGGCTTGCAACCAGTGCTCTGCTTCGTATTAGCGTAAACTCTGATGATAGACTGCATGTTGACGCACCTTGCAGATGAACTCAATCTCATCGCGCTCGATGTCCTTGACAACCAAGATCTTAAGCTTTGACAAGAAATGCAAGCTAAGATCGTTGACAGCATCGCGCAGAATAGACTTTTGGATAAAGAGGACATTGCACTTTGCTTTCTGGATCTTCTTGACCATGTTCAATAGATATGTCCGCTCCTCCTTGAGGATCTTGTCCATCTGCCTGTAGTCATTGACAACAATCTGGTTTTCCATGTCTGGCTTTGGGGGGCTCAGCTGGAACTGAATGAGACCTATCCGTGCCTTTTCCTTGAGTGTGGGGCCGCCGGCGCTCTTGACCACTGGCTGGTTGAGAACCAGCCCATCAATCATCTCACTATCCTCAATAGTACCGCCCAACTTCTTGATCATGCGAATGTTCTTCAGATCTACGTTGTCGGCGGTCTTGGGGTCGATGACCTTGAGCACCGAGTCGACGGCCATGATGGGCAGCTTCGGCTCTTGAGCAACGATCTTGGAAGAGAGGGAGGTTGTAGCAGTCTTGAGGAGAGTCTGCCTGTCGGTGAGAGAAATGGGAATGGCCATTTCAGTCAAGATGGATATGGCCTCCTGAGCTGCACGCTGAAAGGACTCGGATATGACTGTGGGGTGGATGCCCTTTGCCAGTAACCGCTCAGCAGCTCCCAGAAGACTGCCAGCAATAACCACGACTGATGTTGTACCGTCTCCAGCCTCGATATCCTGGGCGTGTGCGAGGTCGACAAGCATCTTGGCCGACGGGTGCATGACACTCATTTGGTTCAACATGGTGGCTCCGTCGTTTGTGATGATTGTCTGGCCTTTGCTGGTTTGAATCTGCGGCAATTTAGCCATTGACTTGTGTGGAGACTATGTGCATCCAATTACCATTTTGTCCATTCCCTTTGGTCCCAGAGACTGCCAAAATATCAGTATTCGTCTTGTTCCCCGCACTCGGTGGTGGGACATACCGTTCGGATCGCATCTGCCACAGCTACACATTTTGAGTCAGTTTAGAGGGACTGAGTACATGGGAGAAATATCCATACCTCTTGCTGCAATAATGTTGGCACTGCGGACCGCCCTGGGCTTTTCTTTGTCCTGTACTTGCCATCAGTCAATGTTTTTAGAGCTCATGGTGGAGGCAGCCGTACCTTGAAGGCAGCATTTCCGGCACCGCCTCCGCCGCTTGCAACTTGAGCAGCCATATTCGGGGAATCGAGAGAAAACAAAGACAAAGGGGGGGTATCGTGGTGGGTTGGCGGGGAAGTTTTGGGTGCCGGAGACGCGAACCTGACAAGATTTCGAGAACGCGATAGACGTAGCGCACTGACAGTGACAAGCTCCGACTCGCCGGGCCCATCGCCGCATCAACCACAGCTACCACCTTCACTGCATAGCACACCACCCACGCCCGTTCACGATCCCCACCACAAATACATCTCGTCCGACTGTCGCTCTCTTCATCTAGGACCTGTCAGACACATCTCCGTCCATACACTCGCACGCCCGCATAGTCCTATCAGTACACCGGCCGCCCGACAGTCGCCGCCAACACCGCAACCATGCCTTCAGCCACAGGCCAGTCCTGGGAGAAGTACCAGAAGAACTTTGCCGACGACGAGGTCGAGGAGAAGAAGATCACACCTCTCACTGATGAGTAAGCTTGGCCGGTGCTATTTCCCCGGCATAGATGCTGACGCAATGGCAGAGACATCCAGGTGTTGAAGACATACGGCGCCGCACCCTATGGCGCCGAGCTGAAGAAGCTGGAGAAGGAGATCAAGGACAAGCAGCAAACGATAAACGAGAAGATTGGAGTCAAGGTAGTCTAGCCCACTATCAACCTTGGCCTCCCCCGCTCACCTCTCTCCAGGAATCAGATACCGGTCTCGCACCTCCACATCTATGGGACATTGCCGCCGACCGCCAACGCATGCAAGAAGAGCAGCCCCTCCAGGTCGCACGATGCACCAAGATAATACAGGACGAGAAAGACTCGGAAAAGAGCAAGTATGTCATCAACGTCAAGCAAATCGCGAAATTCGTCGTCAACCTGGGAGAGCGTGTCTCACCCACGGACATTGAAGAAGGTATGCGAGTTGGTGTCGACCGTAATAAGTACCAGATCCTGCTTCCTCTACCGCCCAAGATCGACCCTTCGGTTACCATGATGACAGTCGAGGACAAGCCTGACGTCACATACGGAGATGTGGGTGGATGCAAGGAGCAGATTGAGAAGCTGCGAGAAGTCGTCGAGATGCCGCTATTATCACCAGAGCGCTTCGTCAACCTCGGAATCGACCCTCCAAAGGGTGCTCTACTCTACGGCCCACCAGGAACCGGAAAGACGCTTTGCGCCCGAGCAGTCGCAAACCGAACCGACGCCACCTTCATCCGTGTCATTGGTTCAGAGCTTGTCCAGAAGTATGTCGGAGAAGGTGCTAGGATGGTGCGTGAGCTCTTCGAGATGGCGCGAACAAAGAAGGCGTGTATCATCTTCTTTGATGAAATCGATGCTGTCGGTGGAGCGCGTTTCGACGATGGTGCTGGAGGTGATAACGAAGTACAACGTACCATGTTGGAGCTCATCACACAACTCGACGGTTTTGACGCTCGCGGTAACATCAAGGTCATGTTCGCCACCAACAGGCCTTCCACTCTGGACCCTGCCCTCATGCGTCCCGGACGTATCGACCGAAAGATTGAGTTCTCGCTACCAGACATGGAAGGCCGTGGCAACATTCTCCGCATCCACGCCAAGAGCATGAGCGTAGAGCGCGACATTCGCTGGGAACTCATTTCCCGTCTCTGCCCTAACAGCACAGGTGCCGAGTTGAGGAGTGTAGCGACAGAGGCCGGCATGTTTGCCATCCGAGCAAGGAGAAAGGTTGCGACTGAGAAGGACTTTTTGGCTGCCGTTGACAAGGTCATCAAGGGTAACCTCAAGTTCAACTCGACTGCCACGTACATGCAGTATAACTAAGGGATGTTATTCATCCCGTCACAAGTGGCTTTCCACTTGTAGGTTGAGAGCTAGGACTGGCGCTGTACGAGTAGTCACGAAGGCGCTTTACTGCCACTTAGATGATAGAGTTGTAATGCATCTTTCCGAATCGTTATTGACTTTTTTCTTGTTTTTTTTTAAAAAACCTATCGTCGCTCATAGACTGGTATTTATTAGAGCTTAACCACCAGTGTACTCGAAGGCATCAACGTCACATCACCACGTTAATCATCAGCACTACAAAGCAGAAGATTTCCTATTCCACCACCACCGTCTCCCCAACATCACACAGCCCAATCTCCACCCCCCACTCCAACCCCTCTGCCTCTGCACATTTTCGCCAGCGCTCCGGCGGTTCAGTAACCGGCTCGTAATTGACGGAGAAGCCGCCTCTAAACGTGCCAAAATGCATGCCCACACTCCTCTTACTCCTCACATCCCTATGTATTGCCACGGAATCCTCCGGACTAGCATGTTGGCCCGACAGCACTGAGCGCGGCTTGAAGCAACCGACCGGTAACAAGGCGAGATCAAAGGGGCCATATAGGATGCCTATGTCTTTGAAAGCGGGACAAGGAGGGTGCGGGGCGTCGTGGTGCGAGTACTGGTCGTCAGAGTTAACATGGCAGTATCCTGTGTCACCGGCGAAAAACAGCGACTTGGGTGGTGCTGGGTGGGAAGAGGAGGAGGCCTCGCGAAGCACCCAGCTGCACCAGAGTGTAGCGTCAAAGTTCCAGGGCGCGCGACCGGAGCGGTGTTGGGCAGGCGTGCATATTACGTCTACGCTTCCGACGCCTTGCTTTGAGAGCGTCACGCCGTTCCACCAGTCCAGCTCCTCGACTTGGTCGGCTGTGATGCCAGTCCCGAGCCCCGTGATGACGGGTTTGACGTTTAGGCCGCAGAAGATGCGCAGGTCGCCGTTCTGCTTCTTGTTGAGCTTGCGCAGCGTGTCCGAGTCGAGGTGGTCGTAGTGGTCGTGGCTTATGCATACGGCGTCGATGTGGGGTAGGTCGTCGATGGTGCAGGGCGGTGGTGTGAAGCGTACGGGGCCCACCATGCCGTAGGGTCCTACGCGCTCGCTCCAGACGGGGTCGATGAGGAGGCGCATGCCTCGCTCGCTAGAGTCTGAACGGGTTGTTTCGAGCAGGAAACTTGCGTGGCCGATCCATGTTGCCTTGAGCCCGTTGCGGGTGGTGTTGAAATCGGGCTTGCGGACCTGGACGAGGCCGACGCGGTCGCTGGGGACAGGGACAAAGTTTTTGGGTGTCGTGAAGCGTGTGCGCACGGCGGTGGCTATGCCGCTGGGTTTGTAGGAGGGCCATGGGTTCTTGAAGGAAGTTGGTGGATTGCCGATGTGATGGGCGGTTGTGTATGCGTCTGGTGTACGCGGCGCGAGTGGTGTTATGGTGGACGCAGGAGACATTTCTGGCACTCTACCGCGTCCAAGGAAGGGTTGGAGCACGCTGAAAACTGTAAATACCTGCGCATGGTTGCGACGCTGCAAGTGATGATGTTATAGCCAATGTATGACGGAGCTGGTCACGCAGAGATAGTCCATCGGAGAGAAAGTTGTCCCGCAAAACAACGCAAGCAGACTGCGTCAGATCAGAGAGCTCGTGCAACCACCCTTACAGACCGATATGACTTCGTGCTCGGTTCAATTTGCAAAGGTCGGTTTACACCTATGTTCTCGAGTATGTCTAGCCCCGGAGCAGATATCGCGTCGAGACAAGCATTCTCCAGGTGGCTTGGGGGCGTGCTTCTCTTATCGTCCAATGGCACGCACACGTGAGGCCGTCGAGCTTACACGCAGGTACCTCACCTTACCCACCTTTCGCTCATGGCCGACGCCGGGCCTTCGTACCTTGCAACCGCGGGAATACTTACCTTCTAGAAAAGGCAAAGACTGGTTTTTTTTCACCTGGAGCCGCAGCGGACAATACGTTTACATACGTACTAGTAAAAGGCTGTGGCCAACTTTTTTTTTTCTGCTCTAAAGAATATAATAAGACCCATTGGGTTCCCTCAGCTGTAGTTTGATTGTTTTTTGCGTGCCAAATCCCATTAAGCATTTCCCTTTCCATTCCCCCCCCCCAGCATCATGAAGGAACACAATCTCCCCAGGGCCGTCGCCCTCGCCCTCCTCACCACATGCTCCACCGCCCAGCTCTACCCCCTCCAATCCCCCCTCAACCACACCTGCCAACTCCAACAACCCCTCTTATCCTGCCCCTCGCAAGATGCCTCCCAGGTAGACTCGTGCTGCACCGAAACCTTTGGCGGCCTCCTCCTCAGCACCCAATTCTGGAACACGTACACGGGTCTCGAATCCTCAGGCCAGTACCTCCCCAAAGACAGCTGGACCCTGCACGGCCTCTGGCCCGACTTTTGCAACGGAAGCTACACCCAGTACTGCGACCTAAGCCGGCAGTACGACCCCATCCCCTCGCCCAACACGACAAACGGCCTGCCAAACGGCACCGTCGTCGTCCCGTACACAGGCCCGAACATCGACACTTTCCTCGAGCCCTTTGGCCGCTACGACCTCCTCGAGTACATGTCCACGTACTGGGTCGCCTGGCAGCAAGACAACGCCGGCTTCCACGGCCACGAATTTTCTAAACACGCAACTTGCTTTTCGACCTTCAACCTGCCTTGCTATGGCCCCTTGTACCGCCAGCACGAGGATGTCGTCGACTTTTTCGAGACGGCCGTCAAGTATTATAAGCGCTTTCCCACGTTTGAGTGGTTGAGCGAGGCCGGTATTGCGCCGACGAATACGTCAAGGTATTCGTATGATGAGCTTGTGGCCGTGCTGGCCGAGAGGCATGGTGGTGTCCCGTTTTTGGGGTGCAGTGGGCCTAGGTTCAATGAAACGCCTGCGGGGAGGAATAGTACGGATAGGGGTTTTACCGTCTTGAATGAGGTGTGGTATTATGAGCACGTGAGTATTTTCAAAGTTTTTTTTTCATCTGGTTTTTTTCGCGTAGATGTGTTTTTTTCCCCGGGGGTTTGTTTTTGCTAACGAGGATTTTCTTAGGTCTACGGGCGCCCTCAGGAAGGAAACACCATTCCTGTTAATGCGTCGGCGAGCTACCTGACAAACTGTGCAAAGACACAGGGCGCGATTCTTTACCCGGAGCGAACGAATGGATCGGAAAAGGTTCCTACGGTTCCGTACTAATAAAGCAAGTGTTAGTAGCTGTGCTGCATCTTTTCTTGTACATTTATAGCATATGAATAATGAATGCGGATAGAAAAGGAACAGCAACGTGCATGTGCAAATGGCAGCAACAATAAGACAAAAGGAATTTAAATTCATAAGTAACCTATAACTACAGGTAACATTTACTATGTTGAAAAGATTAACCTATTAAGCTTGTACATGTATACAGTCATCGTCATTGGCCGTTGAGCTTTCCACTGCCCGGCTTTCCGAGCCAGCCCTTGAACCAGCAGCAGCACCATTGCCATCTTCTGCTTGTTTTGTCACAGTCTCTTCGTGTGCTTTGGCGTGCTCACCAGATCGCTCGGGAGCCTGCCCTTCATCCTCGTCCTCTTCTTCTTCATGTCCTTCTTCGCCTTCCTCCTCTTCATCTTCATGCTCCTCGTGCTCCTCCTCCTCATCAGCATGACTATCAGCCCTATCCATATCTACGTCTTGTCTCCGTGGGCTTTGTTTTCGCCTGGGACTCGCACCATGTTCGCTTTGCTCTTTTTTAACGGACTTGTCCGTTTTGGATGCAGAACGATGACCATGTGAACGCGTATGAACAGTGTGGTCGCATTCCTCTGAAAACACTTGGCTAGCATAGTCATGTTGCTTGCGGGATGCATCCAAACCTTCGGGGAAGATCTTGCCCATGATCGCCTTGTGCTTATCGGTCGCGTTCGGGTGTGCCGCAAGCCCAGCAGGGCTGGGTGTGTCAGCCGCACTAACCGGGGCCGCGTACTGGATGCTTGTGGGCGTAGGGGAGTGGCTGGAATCATTTTCCTTGCGAGCATGCACTTTGCGCAGATTGGCTGCCGACGATTGTGAACGCATATCAGGACGGCCATCCTTTCGAATAAGCACACCATCTGCATTTCGCACGGGCTTTGTACGAGTCCTCTTTGCAGACCCGTACGCCTCACCAGGTGGTCCAAAGCTGATGCCAGCCGTCACCCCTTGTAGGCCAAGGCTTGAAGTGCGATCGTTTGTCATATAGCCTCCACGTGCGCCACCACCACCACCACTGCCACGGCGTGCTATGCCACCTCGGCCAGAGTGTGCCATGTGGGCATGGAATTCTTCTGGACTGCCTTGTGAGCTGCGATGGCTCTGCCAGTCATCCGACTCCCATTCTGGTGTTGCAAAGGTCCCGTGAGGTTGGACGAGCATGCTCCTTCGAACTTTACCGCCCCGACTGCCGGGCCCTCCGCCGCCACGCCCCCGGCCACGAGGCCGATACCCCATCATACGTTGGGAGTCGGGCCGCCAGCCATCGTCTGACTGCGCATACTGCGGGGTGTAGGGAGAATAGGAAGCTTGTTGCTGTGGTTGAGGCGAGGGAACCTGGTCAGCTACAGAATTTTGAGACGTAATTGCTTGGCCAGGTGTTGAAAACTGAGCGTTTATCGGTTCGACTGCGGCACGACTGGGTGGTGGTTGCGCGGCAGTGTAGCCAGGGAATGGCTCAGCTTCGCCTAGCTTTGGCCGCTTTGGGGAACTTGGCCCATGGATAGTGCTCTCCTGGGGGCTGTCCATGCCGCTTTGGGAACTCCGCTTTACTCCAGCGTTGACGGTCGCCCATCCACTGGTCTGACTAGGCACAGGCTCAGTTCTCGATGTAGCTTCAACTGCAGGCTTGGGTGCTGGCTGTGCAAATGACGGCTGGTGGTGCTGGCCACTCGAGGCATGGCGAGATACATCGCTGGCTTGTGGAATTGTTGGAGTACTGGGGTGAGATGACACTGCGGCATGAGTTGATGGGATAGGTGCAACGGCCGTCTCACGTGGAAGCTGGAATGTGTGCGACGGCGGATGTGACGACGCAGCCTTGGCGCCTTCTTCGAGCCGGTAGATTTTGTTCTTCATGATTTCAATGTGGAGCTTTAGATTGTCGAGATCGCTCGTCTTGTGCGACATGACGGTGATTTGTTGCGCCATGAGTTCGAGCGCCGAGTCTTGAGCGGCCATCTGGTGGCTTGGGGAAAAGACAGATTTGCGTGATTGCTTGTCGATTCTCCAAGCCTCCATCTCTCGGCTGATGGCTTCCATGGCGTGGCGCATGCCTTGCATTTCGTGTTGTAGTCGTGCTGCAGACTCTTCCACCTTTTGGATGTCGGCTGTCTGACGGAACAACTGGGCCTGAAACTCGCGACGAAGGGATCCCTCGACTTGTTGAAAGGTCTCTTCGCCTCGACGTATGTCGCGAGTGTGAGCAGCCAGGGCGCCGCTGTTTTGAGAGATCTGTGTTTGTAAACGCTCAATAGCGTCCATGGTCACCACGCCAGGTGAGCGAGGGTACTGGTGGCCATTTGTTTGTGATGTTTCGGGAGCAGACTGTGGTTTAGATACACTACCGCGAGATTCACGCACATCGCCAGTGAGGTGAATGGCAGATACTTGTTGCGGTGAATCAGCCTGGTGTATTGGCTCCGCTACGGGAGATGAAATTGAGGGTCTTTTGCTTGGTGCCGGTTGAACAGCGCTGTGCAAGGAAGTGGTCACTGGAGGAGAATGTATCGATGACGATAGTTGTTTTCGCGACTGTCTGTCGTGTTCAATGGGATACATGAGATGCTGCTTTGCGGCATCGCGATCGAGATCATGACGTAGGCCCATGTGGGTATGAGAATAGGCCGATTGGTGCAATGACGGCATACGTGTGTCAACCTCCATGGCTTTAGTCCAAGATGGGTTGGGAATGTTGTTTAGTGAAGAAGATGGTGATGATGAAGAAGAAGATGAAGGAGGAGGACTAGGCGTCTCAGCTGCTAATAGGTCTGGCGCAGTGTCTTCACGCGGTTCGATGACAATGATCTGTCCTGGCGCTATCTCACATTGCAGCTCAATACGGCTTAGGTTAAAGAGATCGCGGCCACTACGCGAAATGAGTTGTTAGCCCGTCTGAGGTAAGTCCAAGCAATAAGCTTTATGTGTATTGGAATGGATAGCCATCAAAGCCTCATTGACAGCAAGATGCAAGCATAATACTCGGTGAGCGATGATGCAAGGGAGGTGACTCACCGAAATTTCCCTTTACCGGCAGGCGCAGTGATGACAGTGAAACCAATTGATGTCTCGTGACAGCCAGGGTGTGGGCAGGACAGAGGCAGGATGGTGCTGTCCAGGGTGTCAGCTAATAGGTAGAAGGAAAAATGTATGGACGTGAACGGAACGGCAGTAATGCGGAACGTGGGCAGACAGGTAGCGGGCTGGCGGGTTTAATAGATGAAAAACGTATAGTGTGGAAATTGTTTGGGCCGCGCTAGCGCAAGTGTGCTTAGGAAAGAGAAGAAAAATTAAAATACCATGTCACTGAACTATACCGGGAGGCGACAACGTATATCTGAGGGCGCCTGATGATGTGATGGCTGACTGCTACCCAAAGGGAAAAAGGTGCAAAGGAGAAAAGACAGGCGAGAATCGATAAGCTTACCATCCATCCAGAGCCGTGCCCTTTGACGCAGGCTCGGGGCTGCCAACGCTTTTCAGGCGCGACGAGTAGGAGCCGAGCAGGGCAGGAACATGAAGGGTGCCAGTGATTCGACTCCACGAGTTGTAAAAGTCGCCTACGTGGGTGCGGCAGTGCTGGCAATAGCCCTTTGTCGATCGAGCGATGATGGGGAGCGAAGCAACAGATGGCGGGGGCCTAGCAGCACTTTGGGCAAAGGGCGGTGCCGACTGCTGAACTCTAAACTGGTCGGCATTTGCATGCACAATGGATGCAGTGTGAGACGCAGAGCGGTGATGTTGTTGGGTGCTCATGCTGTCTGGAGTAGTCTCACTAATACGAAACTGTCTTGTGCTTGCCGTAGCCAGCCCATTGAGACGGACCGAAAGGATAGATGTCTGAGCCTCAGTATAGGCAAGGCTACGAGGATCTTGCGCTTATTGATCGCCAACTGCAGGTAAGCGGAGTAATACACCGTGAGAGCCAAGAATGCTCTATAGTGGTTACCACAGGCAGGCAAGGGGGATGATGGCCAAAACACCAGTGTCGAGGGTGCTGTGAGCGTCAATTGCGCAGTGCGGCCAGAGGAGGAGGAGGAGGAGGAGGTGGCGCTGCAGGAGGGTGTGTGAGAGTGGAAGAAGAATCAATGGGTGGATGGACAGGACAGGACAGGCGGATGAAAGGGTGGGATCAAGTGTTGAATGAGGGTGGGAAAGCAGCGAGTGGGATTGGAGGCGGCGGCAAGGGCCAAGAAAAGGCAAAGAAGGGGAGCGCGCGTATAGGGTGCGGCCAGGGTGGAAAAGCAAAGTTAGGGAGAGAATTAGGACAGGTGAAATAATTAGCACAGGCTTATTCATTATTGGCTGGCCGCGAGGCCCGGTGGGGTCTAGCGCGCCTCGTTATTTAGAGGTGCTCTATCAGCTATTACGAATAAGCCTCTGAGCCGTGGGGTGTCACAAGCTCGACGCGCTAGCTGTTCCGCATCGTGCATCAGCCCTTCAGGCCCTCACCCGGCGAGGCTCCTTTTGACGTCTGCTGTTTATGCGGGTGGGCCATGTACGGCAAAGATGCGACGCTGCCCGAGTAGTGGCATTATCTATTTGTCTATCTAGCTATACTTACTGCCCATATAACATTCACAGCCATCTACCCACGACCCAATGAATAGGCACGGGCAGCCATCCTGTCCTTGTATACATGTACATATACATACACATACACGCACGCTGCTCAAACATCCATGTTCCCGGTAGGTAAACGTCATACTCGGTAATCAGTGGGTACGTATGCACGCATATATACACTGCACACAATGGAGCAAGCAGCGGCTCGTCACGACCATCATCATCAGCAGCAGCAGCATCCCTTTTTTTGCCACAATTGGCCAGTGTCGAATGCTCCAAGGTTTCATGGTCGTCATGGCCCAATAAGCATAGCAGGCGGGCTGATAAGACGAGCGCACGGAGGCCATTGAACATATTTACACACACACACTATATACATGTACATTGCAACTATAAACTCTGTGTTTTTTCTCGTACGTACCACCTTCATCTAGCGTTGGTGCCTCTTTGTCTCTGATATAGCAGGCCCAGATTACCTTTGCCCCCAATAGGTAAGCCCTTTGCACAGGCCGCCAGCTCTTTACCATCTTGGCACTATGGTGCTGCTATATGGCGGCAAGATAGCAGCTTGGCTAGCGTCCCACCTCATAGATCGCCGTGGCCGCTAGCCACTACCCAATCCAGCCCTTGATGTAGTCATCCGCTTTGCAAAAAATTTGATTTTACTTTCTGGATCCGACACTGCGGGACCTAAGGCAATGCGCTAACATAGCCTTAGCCATGATATGAGCAGGGTTCTTGATTGTCGTCCGTGCAATCGACATGCCAACTGGCCCAGTAATATCTACTTGGACACACTGAAACGGTAATTAGACCATTTTACCCCCGGCTGCATCCAGCCGATCGTTGCATCCTGCAATGTTTCCGGTACCCCTCGGCTTCCGGTCTTTTCCATATTCTCTTCTCAATTACCCGTCATTACCTGTCGGACCCAGCTGCCTGTTTGCCCAAACACGCCGACATTCTACGTATTACAAAATTGCTTTAGCCTTGGCCCCCCAGTGGCCAAACACACAACGAGACACTCACATTGCTCTCGTAATAATAATATCCTTATATAGTACTGACTCTCTTACTTGACCACCATGAACCCGACCCCGTTGCGTGCATCCTGGCATGCTTTGGACAATGCCTGCACCTCCGTGTCTGTCCACTGTACGCTGAGATTGTCCCATTTCTTCGTTGCAAACTCACGCCGGTACTGCTGGTTCATGGCTTGCAGCCGTCGAATGTCTCGAGGGTCACCCGTCCCACTGTACACAATAAAGGCCGTGCAGCGTGGCAGGGCCTGGTAAATCTGGCCGATCCGCTCAACCGTCCTTGAAACTGCGTTGCCAAGCTCAGCGCCTTGTAGCTCCACATCCACATCATCGCCTTGTCCACACAAGCCCATTCGCTCAAGCGCATTCTTTCGAATCACCTCGACATCTGCTGACTTGGCATCATCCCACCATCCTCGTGCAAGTTCAAGCTCCCGCAGACGGCCCCAAACAAAATCAATCTGGTCTGCAGTTCCATCTCTGCCCTCGGCCTGGCCCTTCAAGGTTCGATCAATCGCTTCGACCACTTCATCATCTGTTTTGCACCCTATCGAAACCTTAGCCTGACCTCCGTGGCCTCTGTTTGGATCACCCCAGTCGATGACCGCTCCCGCTCGATGAGCGTCGTTTGACTTTGGTCGCATGCTCCGTCCTAGTCTTTTGAAGATCGACTCGGCATTGGTGTCACTCGAACCCCACCTCGGGCCCTTTTCGCATTTTTGCTTGACCAGATCAAGACATGTTCGCGCGTCTTCTACACTGTCGTGACCCTGTGACCCTTTCTGCACTTCGCGCTTGAGATACTTCTGCGCAAGCCATTTCAGCGACTGCTTATAGGGCGGGCCGCGCGGATGTGGATAGAGAATACCCGTGTCGACGATAAAGGGATGAGTCAGTTTGAGTGCATTGAGATCAGAGTTTAGCGAATGTCCCACAAGGATTGTGCGCGGAGTAATGAGTTCCAGTAGCTCCTTTTGTATGTCGGCGAGTGTCGTTGTGACATCCTGAAGCATGGCTGCTGTGATACCCGACCACTGCGTTAGATGGTCCTTGATGCCAATCTCGGGCTTGACAAGCTTATCCAAGACTACCTTGCCGTCCCAATCCATTAGGCTGATGCGCGTAAGCACAAGCTCATCGTTCTCGGCTTTGCACATTTCACAGTCCATGGCGAGGATCTGTCTCCCAGCACTCAGACTGCCTTGCTCTATCTCTTCTTCGGGTACTTGTCCTTCGTCCACATTTGCGACATGGCTATCCACCCAGCCGTCATCTGCAGTCTGGTTGGCGAGTTTCCTCCTCTCATGGTTAGCCTCCTTGGATTCGGGCGTCGTGAACATGGCTGGATGTAGTACATATTCATTCTCCTGCTGCTCCATGAGCGTGGCGACATACTCGGTGATGCGTGTGCGCTTGTTCTGCCAATGACTTGAGTTCTGTGGCATGGGCCCCTTATGGTTGCCGGTTCTCTTCATTTGCTTTTCTTCTTGAGTCTTTGGAATCTGCGAGGTGAGCATCGTATGAATGGGCGAATGGAGGCGCGTGTACTGGTTGTTGCGGTGTTCTCCAATGGCTTTGATGGGCCACACGTGCTCGAAAATGTCGGATAGAGGCTTCAGCGGTGCAGGCAACCGTTCGGGCTTCAGACTGGCTGGGTAGAAATCGCTGGACGAGATGGACAACCGCTTTGGCTGAGACTCGGTGGCCTCGTCTCCTTGGGCGACTTGTCCAGGCTGTGAGGCGGCTTCCAGGGCAACCTGCCCGTTAAACATGCCCATGTCCAAACCCGGGACCATGAGCATAACGACCTGCTGGATGTTTGCACGGCTTCGCACAGAAACCCACTGGGGCGCTGTTCCGTCAGCAAGCAGATACAGCACCAGCGCCTGCAGGTCTGTGACCTTGACATGCGAATTGAGGCGTGCATGGTGCGAGTGCTCAATGGCCGGGTAACTCCTCTGTAACTTTCGTTCCTTCCTGCGCTCCTCCTTTGATAGACTGTCGTCCTTGTGCGCGACCGAAGCATCTTGATCTTGGGTGGATGAGGGCGAGGCTGAGGCAGAGTCACGTGAATTGTGCTGTTTTCTACTCTTGCCGACGACTGTCCAGCCTTCCGTAGCTTCGTCTGGCTCATCTTCGCCGCGCATGTGCGCCAAAGTCGCGCCCAGCCCGACATCGACTGGACGCCGGTCGTCGAAAGTACTGCGTTTTCTTTTGGCCATGTTGCCACTTGTCCGGTTTGGCGCGGCGAGACTGGACCGCTGTAATTGTGTGCAAGAGTCGTGTTGCGCGATGTTCACAAAATGTTTGCCTGTCGACCGCACTGACGTAACGCTAGTCGCAGGCGGCCCTTCCGCCCTCTGGTCTGCACTTGATGTTCAATCTTTGCATCTTGCCATTGCTCCTACACACCCATTCCACAATCTGACCAAATACGTGCCTTTGGCCGACGCGATTCTGCACAACTCAACTAAAGTCATTTGGTTCCAAAATTACGAATTCTCCACGCTGAGGAACGGCCCCTTGATGCAAATTAGCAAACACCCAGCTGGCTCTGGCAGGACGTCCCACGGTATCCTTGTTGCAGTACCCTCCGCCATCTGAGCATGAAATCTTCTGATCTTCTGTTTCAATAGGGTATAGAAGTGAAATACTATTAATAGTTATACCAGTCTTGGGCTGGATGTTTTCAATATTTGCGGCTACTGATTACTAGGGGCCCTTTGTCGACTTAGCGCATCGCAATGGCTCCGATACGAGATAAGTAAGACCAGCATGGCGACCTGGCTCAAGTTCCGGAACCGATTGGATTGCGGCTCTCTCCGGAGCGCAGTCTATCCAAATTCGCAATAGTCGCCTACTGCTTAGCCCGGACGTGGTAGCCACATGGTTCTGACTCTCTCCACACTATTCCGTTGATTTTCACATGGTCACAGGCTTTACCAGGCAGGGAAACGGCAAGGCCTCGAAGGTTTGACACTTCATCACTTACCAGGCCTAGATTTCATGAGTCTGGCTTCCCATTCACCGCAATGCAAAAGGTCATGGGCTTATTCATCCACTTTAACATTGTACAGATACGAACTGGGTCCAAAGGCCAATACGGCCAATTTGCGGTCGAGCATCTAGACAACTCGTGTGCCTCGGCATGACCTATCAAATGCACTATTTTCTTGAAACCAACACAAGGCAACCCGTTCGTGAAGTATCGCCGGCGTAATGTCTTAAAAGCGGCTGCACAATGTCTTGTATTGGTCCTCTTGTCACTAGTCCCTGAACTCGGCTACTACAGGCGGCTGCATAGGGAGCAATACGTATTCTTGGGAACGAAATCAGTAAGGTCGTCCAAAGCCCCATCGCCAACTCATAGCCGCATAGAGCATATCCTAAAGAATTCTACACTAAGCTCCTTGCGCTAGAACAACTGCGGCCCTGCGGGCACTTGGCATATGTACATTTGTTTTTTATTAGCATAGCTATCAAGTGAACTGAGCCATGGCGCAAAGTTCATTTATGTTCCAAATGTTATACGACAAAACGTGTGGTGCGCCTTACCATGATGTGCGTTAGTAAGCCTAGCCTACTACATTATAAACTACCCATTTGCCTCTAGTCTCTTCGCACCAAGAACACCTCTCCGAAAACTAGCTTCCATACCACTTGGCACTTGGCGCTGCAGCTGAATAAACTCACGCGCAGGCTTGTACAGCGGAAAATAGCAATGAAGATACTAAGAATTGTATCGCACGGAACTATGGTGGAATCCTTCAGGAGCAAAAGGATCTTCTACGTACCACGCATGCCAAGCTAGTGGTGCCATGGCATGTATCAAAAGAGAAGTCGTTAATCAGGTATCAAGATGAACTCCGACAGACAGTTCAATATAAATATCAACCACAATCATCTCCTTCTTCCTCACAACGCACAGCATCTGATTCCCGCATCCTTAAGACTCACAGCTTTGATTCATATCAAGTTCACCGGTAAAAATTCACTGACATTCGAGCTGCACAGCTCAATCCTCAGAACAAATAACTAAGAGTTTTCAGAATCCCAACATCAATCAAAATGTTCGCCTCCGGTTGGAAGAAAGTCCTCAGCGTCGCAGCCGTCGTGCTCGCACTCTCCAGCGGTCAAGTCCTCGCAGCCTGCACCGATGGTCCCGGATGGACCCCTGAAGAATTCGCCGAATACCAGTCTCTTAACGACACCACTGGCTGGGCCGGCATGGAAAAGCTTGCACAGTGCACCATCGACGCCGATGAGCTCACTCCCGCCAAATCCCACGGAAGGTTCGAGGCTCGAGCCGGAGGCCGCGAGTGGCAGGGCTACAGCTCCAGTGGATGCTCTGGCGCTCAAACTGCTGTCACGTCCGGCTTTGGATGCGGTGTTTGCGTCAGTGCTACCAACTTCTACTTCTACAGTGGCTGGCTGTGGAGGGAGCGCGCGGCGAACCCTTACCCTACTGCTGATTACTACACTCAGTCCGGCTGCCGCGGAACCAAGCTTCACCACCAGGGTATTGAGGGTAGCCAGACGACGTCTTGCAACAGCGTCAACCGCGCTGCGTCGGTTATCCTCTACCAGGGTTGCTAGAGGGAACTACGCATGAGTTGGATACGGATGCTGACAACTGTGAGGGGAGGTAACAGTGTTGTGAGTGGAGGATGTGTAGGAAGGGTTAACAGCGCTTTTGGACATTCGTTTATACATACTTTTTGGCTATTTTGTATCTTTTGCAATTGATGAGTGGCTGGGATGTACTGTTTAGGCTATCAGTCAATTTAAGAGATCTTATAACTTGCAGTGACACGGAATGCACATGTCTGCAAGGTTTTGATCATACTGTCCTGATGTCCAGTCCTTCTTCCAGACTCTGCCCATGCTCGAAACTATGTATATTCTTGAATCAAGCAAAAACATTAGAACACATTGGTTTTTGATAATTCTAGAATGTCTGTAATTTAAGCCCAAAACGTTTCCTAAGCGGCAGTAAGCCAAGGATGCTGACATGGTTTTCATGCTATCTGCTAAAGTCAAGCACAGCTCATGGAATTGATCACAGTCTAAATGTAGAAAAAATAGTGCTTGTTGTCTATTTCTCATTTCAACCCACAAAATAGTTTAAACAATGTAAGCATGCTTTTTGACCAAATTTCTCATGAACAATCCATCATTGCTAATCACATGTGTATATCTAAACTCAATAAGTAGTTCCCTGTAAAGAGTAGCGTTGTTTATTTTACTCGGGAATGACATGGTCTTTGGCGTCCACACCTGCCTTCCATCGATAGGTTGATGCAACATGCTCGTCCGGAGGACCTGTCTGTCCCTTGGTTCCATAGAAATTCTCCCGGTACGTACCACCAGGGACTGCATAGTCGTCCCAAAATATCCCGCGCTTTCTCAACTCTGGAAGCAGTAGCTCTACAACATCTTTGAAAGATTGAGGGAAGAGTGCATATGCCTATGCATGTGTTAATTTAATTGTAGTGCTTATAACGAGACTGACTTACGATATTGAACCCATCTACATCGGCTTCGTCGACCCATACCTGGAAACCGTCTGCTATCTGCGACGGTGTTCCGACAAAAATAGGGCCGATACCACCAATACTGATATGCTCTGCCACAGTATGTTTAGTCCATTTGGATGTACCGGGCGAGAAGCGAGCGAAACCCTCCACTGTCGACCGCACGGCATTACTGTCAACATGGCGCAACTCCTCTTCGTCACCATACTTTCCTAGGTCGATTCCAGTCCAGCCACAAAAGAGTGCCAATGCACCTTCCAATGACGCGTACTTTCGGTACTCTGCAAGCTTTGCTTGTGCCTCTTCTTCTGTCCTGCCTATAATGGGAGTCACCAGGGCCAGAAACTTGATAGAATGTCTGTCTCTTCCAAACTGCGTTGCAGCAACATCCCTGATCTCAGCAATGTTACCTTTGCAAACAACAGGCGCGTGCGCAGAAACAAAGATTGCCTCTGCATTTTGCGCTGCAAAAGATTTGCCTGCTTTCGAGGCACCCGCTTGCAGAATCAACGGAGTCCGTTGTGGACTAGGTTGGCAGATATGCGGGCCGGGTACCTCGAAGTACTTGCCTTTATGGTTGATCTGTCGGACACGATCTGGATCAGAGAACATGCTCTTCTTCCGATCTCGAACAACAGCATCGTCTCGCCAAGAAGACTCGAAGAGCTTGTACATGACCTTGACATACTCTTCAGCTTGGGCATAGCGTTCATCGTGCTATCCAAGTCAGCAACATACTTTTATCGACAAGAGCACTTACTGGCAACTGCTCCTTCATGCCCATGTTCCTCGCGGCGGAGTCGAGATAGCTGGTCACAATCTACTAAAATTACCAGGAGTGTCTTTGGACGGAGTCGGAGGTGCTTACATTCCAGCCTAGTCTGCCAAAGAATCAGTAACTAAATCAGTACCCAGGGAAGGAGAACATTGGCAACATACCGGCCCTTTGTCAGATGATCAACAGTAGATAGTCGTCGAGCCAAATGATATGGCTGTTCATAAGTAGTTGACACTGTCACACCGAAACCAATGCTTTTGGTTGCTGCAGCCATTGCACTGACAACTGCCAGCGGCTCGTTGACCGGCCACTGCGCACCTGACCTTATTGCTGCATCAAGATTACCATTGTATACGTCGTAACCCCCGAGAACATCTGCTATGAAGACGCCATGTACTTTGGCTTCCTCGAGTAGCTTTGCAAGGTCTACCCAATGGTCGATGTTATTGAACTCATGGGAGCGGTCGTCAGGATGTTTCCATAATCCTGGCGACTGGTGGCCACTGCCTGTACAGAATCCAGAGTTAGTTCTCCAAAAACCTCTTCAACTGTTCTATACAGAGTATACTGATTCCGATAGGGCGAAACGCCTATCAACTTGGACTTACACATTTCCACAAAGGCATTGATGATCAACTTCTTTTTAGGCTTGTCCTCGCCATTCTTTTGCCTTCCATTTTTCGTAGCTTCACCACCATTTTCTCGCTTCCTTTTTGCCATTTTTTAGCGGTTGTAGGCCTCTGAAGTTTAGCTGTTCAATCTCGCCGAGGCACATGCGAGTAGGTTGAGGCGGATGATGTGATTTCACCCGCCTTTAACGCCATCGCTTATCTGTAAACTCTAACAACACTCGAGCCGGGTACAGTAATCCGAACCGCTACTTCTCAACGCTCTCCTCCGATATAGGAATCACTCCACTATAGTAGTACATTTGTGGTAATGATAGTTCGGCCCTTCGCTGTCACCCTACCCCGCTGCCGTGTCACGCCAGACTACTCCAACATGGCGACAACCCTCTTACTCCACCCAATGCTTCCCTTTCAGACACGCACGCACTCAGGTCGAATGCATACTTAGCCTGTCTAGCATACGACGCACTATGCCGAACCTTTATTGCGGGACGCGACATGTGTGGGGCTGTCGGCAGCACACTCACACAGTAGGACTTTAGCGCGGGTGCAGGAACTCTGAATGGCCTTAAAATGTCTCACTCAAGCCGTCAATATCAGAACTAACAATGGAATCAACAAAGAAACGCACGCGAAGCTCCGCAACGCAATCCCCTTCAAGATCCTCACCTAGGAAGAGAGCGAAAATACAGAACCAATTCCAACAGAAAACATCAGTATCGCAACCACCTTCAGAGCAGCATGCACTGCTTTTACATGCAGCCCGCCAGCCATATGACCTCTCGACCAGTCACCCTACTCCAGCCATCAAACTTGAGAATGAACTCCTGATCAAGGTTGAAGCCATTGGGCTGAATCCAATTGACTGGAAAGCACCGTAAGCCTTGAACTTAGTGGCGCCGCTCCTATTTTCTCTCCATCTCACATTCAACAGTGACTTTGGTTTTGGAATCCCAACACTGCCCTATATAGCAGGTCGAGAATTTGCTGGAACCGTTATCAAAGTAGGAGACGAAACATCATCTCGTTTGAAGCCAGGCGACGTTGTGACTGTACCCTCAACCGATTATCGAGACCTCCGCAAAGCTGCATACCAACAATACAGCATCGCATCATCATTCAACACAATTAGAATCCCAAAAGACATTTCCATCAACTCTGGTAGCATCCTCGGCGTTGCATTCGTATCAGCCGTCCTCGCCTTGGGAATATGCATGGGTGTCAACTTCAGCAGTATTGAAAATGGCCCTGATCTCCTCGAGATGGTACGAAATCTGAATCCTGAGACACTTCCCGCGGACATACGTCAAGAATGTCTCTCCAGCATCTTGCACACCGAACGAGCAAACCCCGGGGATTTCCTCGTAGTCTGGGGCGGCAGCTCAACCTGCGCACATGTAGCAAAGCAACTCGCCCGTCTCGCAGGCATCAAAATCATCTCCGTAGTCGACACCGCAAAACATGGGCTCAGACTCTCAAACACAGACCACATCCGCAGTGACCTGATTGTCGATTCGCACGACCCGCAGCGAGCAATACAGATTATCCGGGGTAGTACGGGTCACAGCGCACGCTTTGCCTTCGACACAATCGGCAAGGAAACGGCTACGCACCTCCTTCACAGCCTGGCGCATCCCAGCGAACATGCTAAGCATTTGGACCGTGCGGGGGCCAAACCTCCAACTCCACCGTCTACCCCGCTTGGGGAAAGCCCGCAGACTGCTCGCTCGCATCTTGTAGGTATGACCGGATTGCCTAAAAAGGACGTACCGGGGGGTGTCGTGTTGCATAGTGTGCCTATAAAGCTTTACCATGAGGTACCCGAGGTAGGTGAAGAGATTAGTGCGTGGTGTGAGCGACTGTTGATCAAGGGTCTCTTGGTGCCGCCGGATGTCGTGGGGGTGGTAAAGGGTCTGGATGAGATTAACGGGGGACTGGATAGAATGCGGAGGAGAGAGGTTAGCGGGGGGAGACTGGTAGCTGTGCTTGACTGATAAACGGGGGGAAATCTTTGCATTCGATTGATGATACAGAAAAAATTGATATGGGCGTTGGTGGTATAGTGTATCTTGTTTAATACCAAGGACGTTGATATAATTGCATAGGTTTTTGCTTGAGGTTGCGATGATCTAGAGAGTAGCTTACATTTGTTTACGCGGAAAATAGTATTACGAATGCATTTCTATTCTCGAATCTACATTGCTGACTGAAAGTCTCACTCTACCGCCGTTGTACCAACTCCTGCCACCCAGCCCTTACTTGTCCACTTCGGGCGTTGAGTCCCTTACAGAAACCCCCGAATCCACCTGCTCAATCGCTGTCAATTTGTTGCCAAACCCCCTAATTACCAACCACGCCGGCCAAAGTGAGACTCCCCATAATGCAAAATTCCAGTAAATCGCTCCCACCTCTGCAAAAACCTTGACGCTGGTAACGCCATAACTGACCGCCTGCCACGCACTCTCCGTGCCCCTGAGAAGCGCCGCATATCTGATAACTTGTTCTTCGTTCTCTGCCAGATTTCCAATGACAAAGTACAGGAACAGGTAGTTCATTTGGAAACCGATAGTGAGGAATATGAAGACGGCAAAGGCACGGCCGAAGCCATCAGATACCCAGTCGTAAGATGGTCGTGAGTTGCGGAACTCTGTGGCGAGAACGGTGGCCCAGATCCACCATGCGCCTTGCAGCGTGGCGATGGTGATGAAGGAAGTTCGGGCGCGAATTCGTAGCGCAATGGAAGTCCGGTCGAGGTAGGTGCCGAGGAGGTTACCGCAGATCACGGCGATGATGCCTGAGAGGAAGGAGCCGAGAGCTCGGGCGCGGACTGAGAACCAGACTGTATTTGCAAATGAAGATTAGCTGTTTGCTTTTAAAACAAAAGAATAAGAAGGTCTCTGGGAAACAAAAGTGCAACTTACGAGCCAAATAGGTAAAAAAGACTGCCTCAGCAAACACAGCCTGTCCAATCCACAGCACAATGAGGAGAAACTTCTTCGTGAAAAACAACCTCCCCGTCTCCTTTATCTCAAACCACGGATCTTTTGCAATCTTCAATTCCACTTTCTTGCCGTCCTTCCTCTCCACCTTGCCAGGGCTGTTCAAAAAGAAGCCTACAACTGGTCCTATGCACTGCAGCGCAATGAAAACCTGATAAACAACGTACGTTACTTTGCCAGCTTTGTTGCGTTTCGAATTCAGCCCAAGATTAATTGCGCCACCGAGAATCTGGCCGCCGAGACGGTAGGTAAGCCAGTATCCGAGGGCTTTTCCTTTATTCCAGGGTTCGGGGTATGCGATTGCGATTGCGGCTTCGGCCATCCAGAAGACGCCCGCGGAGATGCCGCAAAGGGAGGAACCGAGGTAGATGAACCATTCTGTGCCGAATCTGTTGTTTGTGTACTGTGGTGTAGTGTTAGCGTCACATGTACTGGGAGATGGTGAAAAAGGTAGGGCCTACGAGAGCGGCTGCGTATGGTGCATATCCAATTCTAAAGCGACGTTAGTTGAAATGCAAGGGAATGGATTAGGTTGGAAAAGAGAGCAAACTCACGTTCCAAAAATCAAAGCACCCTTAATCCCGATATACCGCACAATCACACTGCTAAAGTAACAACTAACCACCATCAAGCAAAACGTAAGCGCATTCCCTGCATTGACGAGATGCGGCGACTGTGCGCCTCCAGCACCCAGACTATTCATCGCACCCCATATTCCCGGAGCACTAAAGTTGCAGAGCCCGAGAATGGTGATGTTGAAGAATGTGGAGCGGTACCATCGTACTGTACTATCAGCATTAGATCTTTCGAAACAAAACAAAAACATTTGAAAACACAACGAACCTGGACAATCTCGTTTTTGATCATCAACATCACTCGCCGATTCTATCGACGAAACCTTGTGATCGTCCACCATGGTTTGAACAAACATGCAAAGGCGCTATCTCTTCCACAGTTTCCAAGTTGTATTAGTATATATCCCGTTGCCAGACTAAAAGACGAACAAAGTGAAACAACAGTCCTCTCAGGAGAGAGAAAAACGGTTCCAGGCAGATACCCCCTTCCTATCTATCTACCACAAGAAATCAAACTAGACAATCCCTTACAAACCCTCCCGCCTCCATATCCCGTGTTTCGCGCGCGCAACAGCCAAAAAGCCTAGTAGCCTCCCCCCCCCCAATCCATGTCCTGGACCAAAATGTGCGAATACTAGGTCTCTGTGACGTGCTTTTTCGGCACAAACACGCACACAGAAACAGAAGAAACGATAAATACTTCCGAACTTCGGCAAAACTCTAATTCGTGCACTTGTCCATGCGGGATTGATGGAGGGCAAAAGCACACGAGGAGCATGGAATGTACGCAAGCGATTCGGGCCGATTTACTACTAGGTGGGAAGTAAGGACGTTGGCGACAGTATGGGCGGCCAGCACGTCATTTTCGCGGTGTGGCCAAGGAGCGTTTGGTATTTTTTTTCGCTGACGGGAATGCGGGATGTGAGAAGGCGGGGGCAGAGGGAGTGCGTGTGTGGGGGTGGTTTGTTGGAGTAGGGTGGAGATGGGGAGGATGACGGAATAAATAGGGAAATGTCGTGATTGGAGATATTACTGTGTATGGTACTATCGTAACGGCATGGGCAGATGTGGAAAGTGTGTAACGCTCGTCATGTTAGTAGGTGTAGTTGTGTTGGTGAGTCTGCTCGCCGTTTTCTTTTGTCGTACGAGGAGGAAGGTAACGGTCAAGGCATGAGGGGGGGGGGCGATGATGAGGCACAGAGATGATGGGGATAGAGGGTTTGTATTGATCACTGTCTATATTTGGGGAAAGTTAAGTAAGCATGGCGTGTAAAAGAAGCGAGCTATGGAATGAGAAGCTGTTCATTTCTTCTTCTGCGTGCCTGGGAGATCCCACCAAAGTTCGTGGAGATTTCTCAGGTCGACATCTTGAGGTGGTTTAAGGTAGGAAGTGATATCTACAGACTCGTCCAGTTCGGCCTGCGTGTACCCATTGCCAAAGTACGCGAATCGGTTGCCCTTATCTTCTCGTTCATACTCCCAGTCTTCCCAGCGTGGTTCGCGTCTGACGATAGTAATGTGAGCTGCCGAGCCAGGCCAAAGCCCGTGAATGCGCTGACCGGGGAGACCGCCATTGTTCCACGAGGAGCAGTTGTCGGTCAGAACTGTAGTGGGGAAGAAAGCGTCGCAGTAGTCAACAAAATCGTCGGTGGCCTCTTTCGATGGTGCAAGAGACTTGATTCCTTGAGAAGAAACCTTGCGGAAGACTTTGGCGAAATATGCGAGTGATGTTTCCACGCCTTGCGGGACAGTGCCAGAGGGTCCTGTGGCATGAGGGCCAGCCAGGAAGAAGAGGTTTGGGAAACCAGGAGTAGCAAGTCCCATGTATGTGTATGGGAAGCCCCATTTGCCCTCGGGTTTCCAGGCTTTGTTCAGATCTTCACCATTTGCTTTGATGGGAAATGGAGGGACGAGATCCGTATTTGCTCCTGTAGCGCAAAATATAGCATCGAATTCAAAATGCTTTCCATCTACTGTTTCGATGCCAGTGGGCGTGAAGCGTTTGATGGGTGTTTTCACCAGTTCAGCATTTTCTTCTGTGAGTGACTCGAGGTAACCTGGCCCAGGTGTCAAGCGCCTACAATGTGGTGAGAAGTCTGGAATCAGACCATCTAGAAGTTCTGGTTTCTTTGCGGAGCGTTTCTTCATGACCTCGGTAAATTGCTCCTTAATTCCAGCGTTTTCTTGGGAGCCGCGTACCATTGCGCGAAACCCTCTCCAGTATCGATCTTCCAGCTCTTTACGGAATTTAACATACGTTTGGGGATCCTGGAATGACTCCCGCTTTTCTTCGGGATAAGGCTGTGGCTCAAAGGTACGCTCGTCGCCCGCCCACGATGTTGCAATCCATGTGGGATTTCGTACAAAGTGCGTGATATGTTTGGATACCCGTTGCAGGTTTGGTACGACCTGGATGCCACTTGCACCGTTTCCAATAACCGCAACCTTTTTGCCCTTGGGGTCGAAAGAGTTGTCCCAGTTCGAGGTATGTCTCAAATGACCTCGATACTCGTCCAGGCCGGGGTAATTGGGTAGCTTCCATGCATTAAATCTTCCGATCGCAGCGATGACAAAGTCAAACGTCTCGGTTGATGTCTGGGTATTTTCGAGGTTGTGCACTTGGAGATTCCATTGGGACTTGGTATTGTCCCACTCTGCTTCGTCAACGCGATGTCGCAGTTTGACATACTTGTACACATCATGCTTCCTCGCCTGCTCTTTCCAATAGTCACGAATCTCGGCACCCTGGGCAAAAATCTCGGACCATTGAGTGTTGGGCGAAAATGTCGATTGATAGACATGAGCAGGTATATCACACCGCACTCCAGGGTAGGTGTTTTCCAGCCATGTTCCGCTCTGTGATTTGGTCAATAACATAAGAATGAGGAGCGCGTTGTAAAACTTACCACATCGCTGTTCTTCTCAAAGATGGTCAACTGAAGGCCAGGGACCTTGGCTGGTAGTAGGATGCCAGCACTGATACCTGAGAGTCCAGCACCAATCACTCCAACTTTGAGCTCTCGCACACGGTCAATGTGGCGATTAGGATCAATCTGGAATCTTGAAACGGGGTATGGTATGTTCAAGCTCGGGTGAGTAGGTATATTCACATTCTCAGTTTCTGCTGGGGGTGCGAGGTGCCCTGTAAGCTGCGCAACACGTTGAGTGGATGTCGCTGCCTTGGCCTCTGGCCTTATTTTGTCTGCATCAGGGATTACTGAGTTTCGCGCCATTACTAGATATTAATGGCAAGTTTCGGGCAACACTGGTATCTGAGGTGATGTCTGAGGTGGCGACTCTTTGATGTTCCTGGCTTATACAACGTTTCCAAGCTGAAATACATAATGTACATATGTCCTCGAGTGGCTCGTGGTATCATCTCGGTTGTGCCGCTATCGGGTTTCCGCCATGCATAGATACGGGAAGCACGCCTTCTCCCCACCTGGTGACGGAATGGCCAAAGAGTCTCCGACCCCGCCAAGCCTGGACATGCTTATCTAAGAAATTGGAGTCATCGGTAGGATCATCACGGGCTCAGGAATCCTGAGCCTTGACAATGAAGCTTAGTAAAGGCTTTCGAGCTCGAGTGACCGGATATCGGCACACTGGCGCGTGAGCTGACATGGAATCTCCACACTCCATGTTTTGCCCCGCGAGCTTAAGTGGACGACATGGCTTCAGGGAAGTCGATCTGGGGAATGTAAAAATATACATGTATGCCTGAATACTAAAAGCAGGTGATTGAATACTTCGTCTAGAGTTCCTTGTTCACATGGCGCTGTGTATGTTAGGATGGGTGGTGGTTTCCAGCGGTTCCGACGTTCCGACGTTCCGAATCACTGGCAAGAAGCTTGTTCCAACCCTTCAAGCTCCTCAACCTTGAGCACCCCCGCGATCCATACAACCTACCTCTTCGTCCCAACATGAACAACTTTTCTTTTCTCTCACATTGCGGTGGTCAAAGATGTCGGCTATGATGACGTGAGCGTCTTTGGGGGAAATGGTCGATATACTTACTACGTGAGCACTGGCTCCGGCGCTGACGCGTTAGAGTTTCATAGTAAGCAACTTGTGCTCCTCTACTCAATGACCACTGTCGATCGCAACACGTAGGCGCTTTGGGTGGCTGGCCAAATCGGGAGCCAGCGCATGCACGTTACGACTTTGAATGGTCCTACTTACTGTTTGATTCATACTAGTCCATACTTACATTCACCAAAGACCAGGTTCTGTAGCTAGTGCAGGCTCCTCCCTGTCGGCGCGGGCCCTTGCCTACGGGCCTTTTGTTGATGCCGACGAAACCCATAAAGCCTCAGGCCAAGCACCTCATTGCTCGTCGTCCACGCTGTCGGAGACCGCACAAGTCACGTTGATTGTGCCCAGTATCGCTACTACAGCCAAGTATCCCAGTAGCACAGCCGAGCCATCATTGGCCCCCCACAAGGAGCTTCCATGAAGGTCTTGCTCACTTGTGACTGGATTGTCGATCAATGGCAGAACCTCGGCCAAGCAGTGGTTTGCGCAATGAGACGTCTTGCGTACGTTTCCGACCGTGGGTAGGTGGAGGGTAGCAGCGAGGCAGACCAGCAGAAGGATGCACTATTCAGCGCCCAAACAGTGGGTAGTAGGGGGGAGAGAGGTAAGGTATCGTATAGCATAGTGAAGGCGCAGCTCGGATAAGAGCTCAGGCCCGGGATAGGGTGAAGGACGGAGCCAACAGGCTCGGCGTGCTCCGTTGCAACATCGAGACCCTCCAGTCAACGCCATCGATACTTTCCAGAAAACCCATCGGGAGATACACGTGGAACAACCATTGGAGAGGAACCGCGACGTTGGTGAGATGTACTCAAAAGAGACGACCGACGGCCACAAGCGAGCCCACGTTCTAGTATCGTTCCCGCTTATTGGCCCGCTGCTCTACACTCAGCTCAATCCCGCCGGTCTGCCACCACGCCTGCCAAGCTACAGCCAAGGCCCGCCCAAGTGAAAGAGGAGGTATTGGCATCGGCTTGATGTCTCTTTTCTGTCTGATCAAAACCGAAAAGCATGTCAATATTCTCAAGCTCCACACATGTTGCCAATGAGAGGGCTAGGTTGAGCACACGTTCTCTTGGCAAGACCTCTCACGTTGCGCCTTTTGAGTGGCGGCCAACAAAGGCATACAACTTTCTTGTATGCAGTGTCATTCTGTGGGTATAGTTCGTTCCCTGGGGTTGCTGGGGTGGTCCGATGAATGCGGCCTGGAAGCACCGCACATGGCCGAAAATGTGATACGGGCATATATATACATCTGATCCAATCTCTCTTTTGATCATCATCTCTCAGCTCTGCTTGTGACCAGCACTCCTCACTTGTTCAGACGCAGCCTGTATCTAGAGAGGATCCGTCAAGATGCCGCGTCTCACGCAGTACAACTATGTCTTTGCCATTGGCACCTTCTTTGCCATGCTCGATGCATACAACAACGGTGCTAGTACGTACCAACTCGCCCAAACACCCATATGATACAATGCTAACTCTCTCAAAGACGATGTTGCCAACGCTTGGGCTACTTCGGTTTCCTCCCGCTCCGTTTCCTACCGCCAGGCCATGATCCTGGGGACCATCTTCGAGATGGTGGGTGCCATCACCGTCGGTGCCCGTACTGCCGATACCATCAAGAACGGTATCATCCCTACCAGTGCCTTCAAGGGCGATGCTGGTGTTCAAATGCTGGCATTTACCTGCGCCCTTGCTGGTGCCTCTCTCTGGGTCATGTGGTGCACCAAGCACTCTGCCCACGTCTCGTCGTCCTATTCGCTCATCTCCTCGGTTGCTGGTGTCGGTGTTGCCGTCGCAGGCGCTTCTCAAGTCCAATGGGGATGGAACAAGGGCAAGGGTCTCGGTGCCATCTTTGCTGGTCTCGGAATGGCTCCCCTTGCCTCTGGATGCTTCGGTGCCATCATCTTCATGTTGATCAAGCTGATTGTCCATATCCGCAAGAACCCAATTCCATGGGCCATTTGGACTGCTCCCTTCTTCTTCCTCATTGCGGGAACTATTTGCACTCTGTCCATCGTCTACAAGGGATCGCCCAACCTCGGTCTGAACAAGAAGCCCGCGTGGTATGTCGCTACCGTCACCATGTCTTGCGGTGTTGGTCTTGCTGCCTTATCCTTCATCTTCTTCGTTCCCTACCTTCACGCCAAGGTTGTCAAGCGCGACTCCAATGTACGCTGGTGGCACGCTCTCCAGGGACCTCTTCTTTTCAAGCGTCCCGCTCAAGACAACGCCGACACTGCGGTTGTTCCCGACTACGCTGTCGTACAGGACGATGATGAGATCACCCTCGAGCACAACAACAGCGACTCTGAGATTGGCACTGGCGCTGAGAAGGGTGCCGTTGTTGAGGAGCAGCGCCAGCTTACTTACAAGGAGCTTGTCCAGCAAGGTGAGGACCGCTTCCACGCCAAGCTCAGGGCTAAGACTGGACCTCTCGCCTGGGCTATGCGTTACCTCCACGAGAACAAGATCGAGAGCGGCGAAGTCTACGAGAGGAAGAACATGATCATCACTCTCAAGCGTATTCCCGCCCAGCTCGTCGTCGGTGCTCTCTACGGTATCAACTACGACATCCACGCTGCTCAGAGTGGTATCCACGGCACTCCTGAAGGAAAGCGCATGGAGCGTGTCTACGGCCACGCCAAGAAGTACCCCAACGAGGTCGAGCACACCTACTCTTTCGTCCAAGTCATCACTGCCTGCACTGCCTCTTTCGCTCACGGAGCCAACGATATCGGTAACGCCGTCGGACCCTGGGCTGTCATCTACAGCGCCTGGAACACCGGCGAGGCTTCCCGCTCCAAGGCTCCCGTCCCCATCTGGCAGCTTGCTGTCCTTTCCGCCACTCTGTCTCTCGGTCTCATCACCTACGGTTACAACATCATGAAGGTCATGGGTAACAAGATCACTTACCACTCCCCTAGCAGAGGTATGTTTCCCTCCAACAACAAGACGCTTTTTTTCGCATCATTTTACTAACTCACCCCCAGGTTGCTCCATGGAAATGGGTGCCGCTCTTACCGTCCTCATCTTCTCGCAATACTCGCTCCCCGTCTCAACCTCCATGTGCATTACTGGCGCTACCGTCGGTGTCGGTCTCTGCAACGGTACCTACAAGGCTGTTAACTGGCAGCGTGTTGGTCTCCTTGTCTTCTCCTGGATCATGACCATTCCTATCGCTGGTACGATTGGTGGTCTTTCTATGGGTATCGTCCTTAATGCTCCTCACTTTAAGTCTTAATTGCTTTACTCCTCGCCTTTTTGATGGAAAGGATGATTTTACTTGTTATGATACGCATAGGTGTATAGTACTAGACATCAAGTGCTTTTGAATTTATATTGGTTGGATAGACATTTTGCTTGCGGAAAATGATGGCCTGAATGGTGATGCTCTTGTGATGTGGGGGGACCGGCGGGTGTGAGGTGTTAGTAAAGCTTTTGCTTGCAAAAAGTGATCTTGATTGTCTTTAAAAAAAAAGGCTGCTGATTAAGAAAAATGCGTATTATGCACCTGGGCATGTTAAGTAGTGGCTATTCCTGGAATAGTATCTTTGCTTGACACGCCAGATGCACAAAGTGAGTTTGGCGACCTATTTTGAAATCACATACAAACGACATTACTTTCTTTTATATACATATATACACATGTATCCAATTCCATTTACATTGTTCCTCGTTGCCGTTCCAAAAGAACAAGTTTCCCTTCTCTACCTACCTCCTCTCCCCAATCTCGATATTCTCATACGCCGCCAGCCCCTTCCCCCTGTACGAATTCCCCGCATTCGACGACGACGCAAAGGTCTGTTTACTGCCGCCATGGCGCTGCTGAGTGGCATCGTCGTCGGGCTTGTACCAGAGAGCGATGATGCGCTTGGCGAGGTAGTGGATTGGCGGGAAACATGTTACGGCGATGCTGAGGAAAGCTTCGATGGCGGACCATTTTACGACGGGGATGTTGGACCCTGGTTTGTGGGTTAGTAGGTTGGAAAAAGGAAGGGGGCGGGGTGGGAAACGAACAGGATCTGTTGTAGGAAAAGTCGGATTGCATGAGGATTGCGATTCTGGTTACGGATATACCTGTTATACTGTTTTTTTAAGGTAAGTCTGGTGTATTTGTCTTATTGTGTGTGTGTTTGGTAGGACAGAGGGGGCGCTTACAGGAAACCGACGCAGAAAACGAGTAAAACGCCGAGTTTTCTCTGCCAGGTGACTTTTAGTTGAAGTAATCTGGGGATGGGCAGGACGGTGATGATACCGTCCATGATGACGTTTGTGATGTTGAAGGCGTAGTTTAGGTTGTTGCGTTGGACGCTGCAGATTGGGTTTTTGGGCTGGGGTATCAGAGTGCCTTGCCACTGTTGCCAGAGAAAGGAGATTGGGAGGCATTGGAGGAGGTGGGCGAGGAATATGGATATCAGCAGGCATGTGCAGATTCCAATGAAAAGGTAGGAGAGTTGGTGGACCCGGCCTATTGAGAAGACTCGGAGGTAAAAGGCTAGGACGGTGATTTTGGTCATGAAGGTGATTGTGACGTAGCCAAGTTCCTGAAAAGTATAGTACTGTTGGGGTCAGCATAGATAGTGTGTTTACTTGGAGAGTACTCATACTTTGACCACGTCAGCAACCTTTTGGGGTTTGAGCATCCAGGCATCTTGACCCAGGCCTGAGTCAATTGCCAAGAGGATGACTGCAAGATAGGCTCCAGCCACTGGCTGTGTTGGGAGTCAGTATCGCAATTCGAAAGCGTACGGTCAATGTGTACAGACCACAAGTGCTGCCGCGAGCCAATCGTCAATGCCCCACTCGACAGAGAGAGGTGGCAAGCGTGTGATGAATCGTAGTATTAGGGCTACAAAAGCGATAGAAGCTACAGCAATCACGTCGTTGGATAGTGGGGCTGCTTGATTTCGAATCGGAGAGTTGCATGTGGAGTGGTATAAGTAAAGTCCGTCTGTTACTTTTATTAACACGACTGTTTTGATAAAAGAGCTTTGTGAACCAAACGAACCGTAATAACCAAGGACTGGGCAGAACCACGCAAGGCAAGTATCAAGACCTTGTGCAATATCTGGAATTGGGCAGAAACACGAGGGGTCAAGGGGATTGCATCCGGTCATTTCAAGATATCCGAGAGTGCATGCTTTCTACGTGACGTAACAATGTCAGCTGGGAATGGAAAGAGCATGGATATCGTTTGGCTGACTGCAAAGGTAAAGAGAAAAGGGCTGTAGTGTAAGCGTACCGCGCATTGAGGAATTTCATCGAATACACCCCCAACCGTGACATTCAAAAACCACCTTTGTCTGAAGTCATTGTCTCCTGGATTTTGTGCCTGTACACCGCAAATACTAGTTGCCAAAGCAATCGCAAGGGCAAGCAATTGCATCTTCTCCCAACAGCCAAGAGACGACACCGCACACCCACGGGAGACGCAAACGTTTTCCAAGCCGTTACTTAGGACGAACGAGAGCTCGGACCGAATGAAGTAGTAGTGCAGAAGACAAACAAAGTCGACTATATATATTCAAGACACAGAACAGCAAAGAGCAACAAAGACAAGGAGGGATACCCGGGCAACGGGTGAAGTTGCTTATAGGGATAAGAATGCTAGATGTAATATCTCTCGCCCAAAACTGTGCTAAAAAGATGAAACTCGCAGGGCTCCTCGCCAACACTTAGCGGCCTCGCCCACCCCCCCTCCCCCCCTCCCCTTTATTGGTAAACCCAAGCGAAAAGCACACAAATAGATAAATAGAGGCAAGTCATTATCCGTCTTAGCGTAGATCGGTGACTACTCCTACTCATCAGGACTATAATGTTTGGCCCAGTGGGTAAGCGGGTCCGTGCTAAAAGATGTGTGGCTTTTTTTCGCAGGGTTGACTGCGTGTTTTGGGGGCAAGCTAAGAGGTTTGGTGGGGACCATTCGCTGCTTTCTTTTCAGGAGCCGAGACTGCTCGTTGAACGACTTTGTCAAACGCCTCCAGGGACCATGCATTGCACTGTCATGGCGTCCTGGGGTCCGTCTCTTTTTCTTTTTCTTCTCCGCGATTGCCAATTCGACGTTTGTTTTTAGCACGAGGCTTGATTCGGCACTTGAGTCGGTTGGCGCGTGCGCCATACATTAGCTCTGTTTTTAATGTTTGATGAAGAGGCTGCATATGATATCTCCAGTTACAGACGCAGCATGGCTAAACGAGACGGATGATTGTTGAGCATTGCATAGCATGCATATGTATGTGCGTATGTGTGTGACTTGAAGGGGTGTTGTTGCATCTTTGTTTTGTGGCAATCAAGTCCCATGTCGAGACCTGTGAATACGAGTGTTATCACTGACACGAAATGAACATGTATGCTTTTTTGTTTCAAGATACCGTTGCAACCGGTCGGCGCTCGACTGGAACACGGCAGAAGCAATTGCAATGGCTGTTAGTGGCCAGCATGGGTACATGGCTCCGCTGCCGTGTTGCTTATCGTCATCGTCATCGTCTTCGTCGTGGCTGTCACAGAAAGATGCATGACAGCCTTAGCACAGCCAGCCATGGACGCGCTTGTGGGATCTGGACCTGGGTTCAAATATGGGTTCTACTAGCAGATGGGCTGTCATGATCGGGCCCCTGGACTACCACGTGCTACCCAACGGGAGTCTCCCCAGCCGTGCACGCCCGTGCCAAGAGGTGCTCGGAGCCAGGCACATCACCGCCCGTCCTGACAGCATAGGGCTCAAGGCCATGATGGCTTCATCAAGAAACCCTACCAAGACATTGTCAACAGACTGGTCATGCTCGTTGCCTCATTGGCTTGTATCGGTCTTTTGCTGTGTGTTCGGAAATTTTTAAATGCTCGCTTTTATATTGCGATGCCGATCTAACCACTGCTTTACCTACAATTTGCCCCTTCTGCTGTCGACGGCTTGTCTCAGCTTCTTGATCACATCGCCAGGGTCCGCAGCGCCAAAGACAGCGCTGCCCGCAACAATGACATTGGCGCCGGCATCAGCAGCCTGGTCAATCGTCTTTTCGCTCAAGCCGCCGTCAACTTCAATGTGCAACTCAGGATACTTTTGTCGGAGAGCGGTTACTTTGGGGAGTTCGGATGCCATAAAGGACTGACCACCAAAGCCAGGTTCTACCGTCATGACCAAGACCATCTAGTAACGTCAGCATTTGTGCTTAAAACCATGTGGCAATGCGCGGTGCCATTGTTGATTCGTGAGGTTATTGCTCCTGCAGCGGGAATAGCCAGCGGCGTAGGCGGCCGAGGGCCGATGCATCGAGTTGCAAAGGTTTGCATGCTTAAGCGCCGCCACAGCGTGCCGCCGACACCCAAACATTGTCAGCCCTATCAGCCTCGGGCTGGTCAACCCCATTGGCGGCCCGTCTGACCAATATATACCGCGCGCATTCCCGTTGTGTTATTGACTCGGGCGGGCGTAAGGGTAGCAGTGCAGGGGATATGAACTCACATCAGGCACCTCTTCCTTGTTTGGGCTGTCCAATATCTCCCACAGTACGTCGACAGGCGTGCTTGGCTTAATGGCAATACCGGCTTGCATGCCCTCGGCATGGATGAACCGAATCAGTTCTTTTGGCGACGTCTTTTGGTCCGACTGTCCGCTAGGTGAGTCGGCAGCAGTGGACGACACGGCGGCCTCATAGTGGAAGCAGTAGAGGTCGCAACCGGCCTTCTTGAAGTCGCGGACCCAGCGCTTGGGCTCGGCAATCATCATGTGGCAGTCAAAGGTGCCCTTTGCATATGCCGTGGCGGGGCGGTCAACGTGTGAGCGGATCTTTGTGACGACGGGGGCACCAAACGTCATGTTTGGCACAAAGTGGCCGTCCATGATGTCCACCTGCACGTCGTGTCAGTCACGGGGCTGGCGAGGCTACGGCTACGGCTACAGGGCGCGTACATGAAGCCAGTCGGCGCCCTGGGCAATTGTGTCTGAGCAAGCCTTGCCCAGCGCTCCAAAGTCGGCCGACAGGATAGAAGGCGCAATGATGGCGGGCGGTGACATGGCTGGTGAGGGGTGTGTGTGTGTTCGCCTTGAGGGATGGCACCAATGGCAGAGAGGGCGCGGCTGGGTCGGGATTCTAGAAGGGATATGTAGGGTTGTACGTCTGTGCTGTGCTGTACCCGAAGCTCACGATAGATAGCTTTTTGGTGTTGTGACGACATGGCCCAGCGTCACGCCTGCCCCGCCCCGCCCGTCAATGCCCCGCCCGCATGCTTGGCACGTCTTCACCGCACCGTAACCACTTGCACACACCACAGCAGCAGCAGCAGCAAGTAAAGTACATGCCACGCATACGCATCAAGTCACTGTTGCCTCGCAAACTATACTCCAAGGCTGGCGGTCAGACGGGACGGACTTGGCAGCACGAGATGGGCTGCGCCAGTGGGCGACTATGCTGTCCAAGCAATGCTCGCCTCGCCATTGGCCCGCCGTGCTCAAAGCGAGAGCTGCAAATAGCACAGCCCGGCGCGTAGACAGCAAAACATCCAACCACATCGGACACACCACGGCGTCGCTAACCCGCAACAGCTAGCCTCTGGTAAACACCATCTGCTCGTAGGCCTTGTTGGCCCAATCATGCCCTTCTCCACCGTGGTCACCATGTCGTGGCCACTATTGAACCGCCATTGTCTCTCCACTCACTCGCACCACAGCTCGGACAAATCCAACGAGTAGCCAGCGTCTATGTGCAGTATATCCCATCGTCGCCGCGCCCGCGCCGCAATCCCTCTTGCTGTCATTCACTTCTAGCCCTTTTCCGAGCCTCCTTTCCCTCGCAAAGTCTTCGTTGATCGAAGCATTCCCCAGTTTTTCTAGTAGGCTGTTGACCAGCGCAGTTCAGGGCTATAGCCCAAATTAATATCCCCTTCTCTTCGGCCCCCGGTACTTTGGTATTTGCATCCTTCACACCCACGCCGCAATCCCGCCCCCTCGGATTTCAAAAGTATCTTTAGTAATAATTGCAAGAGGCGGTGCTCACGGCCCCCCCAAAATATCATGATGCCCCAGATGCTCGAGCCTGCAGTATACCATCCTGCGGCCCCCAGCACCAGGGTACCCTCCCACCATGCCTCGTCTCCGCTGGACCAGAGACAGGCACTTAATAATACCACACACGACGACTGTCCCATCCCCCCTTACTACCTTGCTCAAAGGCACTCGACCTCTTCGGCATTTCAGATCAGTCCTACATCGCCATCGATTGTCGACGACTTCCCTACCCCCAAGGCCCGCTTGTTCTACATGCCTCAACAGTCATCACCGCCCTTGCCTACCCACTCGGCAACCTTCCCGCCACCGAGCCGGCAGAGCCGTACAGACAGTGACTTCGACTCCTTGTACGACATCACTGATGATGAGGCCGAAGTGCCTCTACACGCATCAGCATCAGTCAAGAAACTTGCAACACAGCCAAGGAGAAGGCGCTACCCATCCATTGTCATCCCCTCGCCATCGGCTTGGCCAACTATTGAGAAGTTGAAGAGTGCCAATTCGGCCATGCCCGTCACTCCCTCACTGATGCTCACTCCTTCACGCCGCTTCCTCGACATGATCAACTCTCATAATCTGCAGGTGCCAGAGCACTCAGCCGCCCCGTCCTTGGACGGCAGCCTCACATCGGAAGAGATGGACAAGCTCAGCTGCCCAGCTACTCCAATATCACAGCGCAGGTGTGAATCTCCCTCAAGCTCCGACTCCTGGGGTCCCGTTCAACTCGACCTTCAAGCCATGGAGACGCTCCAGCACCTGGGCAACTCACCTTCCACTGAACAGCACGACGCGTCAAGCCAACAAGAGCCAGAAACAGGCGCGACAGGAGGTGAGATGCGCGAAGTTTCTCGGCCTAGTCTCGGTCTCAACATCCCCTCTGCCTTTTTCGGCAATGGATCTTCGGGTAGTACTCCCATTTCTGCTCTCTCAGTCCCATCGCCAGGCGGCTTCTTCTCTTCACTGCAATCGACTGCTCGTCACACATGGAGCATTCCCAAGCGACAAGATTCTATCCCAAACACATCTACTGCTGAGAAGTTTTACAATCTTCCATGGGAGACGGAGAACCGCAGAAACACCTCTCCACACCCCGGGCCAGCGGTACCGGCTCCTCCACGCCGAAACTCTACTCTACAAGGATCCACCCTTGATGGTTTCGACGAGCCTTTGCCAACATCACGACCGGTCATTCTCAGCCCGACTGACGAAAATGTTGAGATTAAGGAGATCAATCCTAGCAAGACTGTGTTCCAGTATAATGAGAACTATAACGCTGAGCTCCAAAAGGCATCTTCTGCGAATCTTGAAATGACGGGTCGGTGGTTGGAGGAACAAGATGAGCTACAGGCTGCGCTCCGCGATATCAACGACATGAGCTCGCC